AACCCAACCGGAGCCCTGTCCTGTCCACTGCGGCTCCCAACCGGCTCCCTCAGAGACCAAAGCTGGGGAATCTGAGCTCCCCAGCAGCCAGCAGCACCCCAGCAGCCAGCAGCACTCCGACAGCCAGCAGCACCCCGGCAGCCAGCAGCATCCCGGCAGCCAGCAGCACCCCAACAGTGAGCAACGACCCGACAGCCAGCAACGCCCCAGAGAGGCTTCAAGTGGGCTCCCATCGAGACGATAGAAATGAGGTCAAACACGTTTCCGGTCAGTGGGGGTCCCCTCCTGCAGCAAGCGTGCACCCCAGGGTGCGTCTCTGGGGACAGAAGGTGGCTGAGACCGCAGGATCTCCCTGGACGGAGAAACCCAAGAAACCGAATGACGAGGGGAGTGTGACATCCGGGCCCGCCCTGGTGGCGTGGGCGAAGGTGTCCAGGACAGGACATCGGGATGGGGCCAAGGCAGCGAGGAGGATCCGGGCAGGTAGGTGTGGGACCCAGGCCGGGAGAGCGTTGTATCTGACCAGCCAGCCATGACAGGCACCGCGAGCCCTGAACAGGCTGTGTGCGCGGCCACCACCAGTGTGCAAAGCGCCTCGCGGGCAGCCCCCGCGTGGGTTCCCGGGAGGGGAGACCGAGGCGAGGACTCCAGGCCTCGCAGTTCACTTGGAAAGTGGAAGAAAACAGGGGTCCAGGAGGGGAGAAAGGAGCCAAACTGGGGGCGGGGGGCGGGTCACGGAGCCAGCTTCCGAGAGGTGCCTGGGGCCTCATCCCCCAGACTCTCGAGGAAACGTGTGGTGTGGAATGCACTCAGGGTGAGCCCAAGTCGGGGCCGAGGGACCCAGGCACCCGCACGGCAGCTCCGTCAGCCCGAGGAGCGGGGGGTGGGGGTGGCCACTCCCCAGGTCCTCCGGCTCCACCTGGGCTCAGAAACACCTTCAGAGGGCGGGGGGGGGGAGGGGGAGGCGGCAGACCGGGACGCTGAGTCTGCCAGAGCGCACGGAAGGGCGTCTGCCCCTCATATACCGACACCAGTAACCCCCTCGACAACCCTACAGACGTGAACACGGCCATTATTTTCGTCCTTCGGGTGGGAAAACGAGACAGAAGTGACTCACCGAAGTGCAGGGCCAGAGTGCCAAGCCAGGCGGTGTGGCACCCCCTTGGGAGGTGGTGAGCAGCCTGTCAACGAAGGCATGCAAGCAGAGGCCTGGTACCTGTAGCGCAGTTGAACCAGGGATTCCTACTGTGGACAGGGACTAAGATACAGCTAAGGTCCTTTTCCACCACAATCCAGGATCTTATGAGCAAGTATCTGACAAACAGGTGCAGGCAGCCAACCTGGGAAGCTCGGGCGGGGGGGGTGGGAGGAGGGCAGAAGATGGGGGAGGGGCTAAAGACGATCTCTGCTGAGTGGGCTTCACAGTGGTCACCTGACCTCACACCTGAGCCGCTTTTTCTTTCCCCAGGGGCTGCTGACTGCCCGGAGGCCCTGCCCCCGGCCCTTTCTAGCCGCAGGGAGGCTCCAGGCTGTGGAGAGAGACCCCGCTGGAGCAAAGCCAGGTCCCCCCACACCCCCCGCCCAGGGTCCTCATCTGCCAAACGAGGGTGGCGATGAGACCCTCTCTGAGGCCCCAACTTCTGTGACCGTGCGTCCAGGCGAGGAGGCCGGGCTGGGCGTCTAGAACAGTCCAGCCACTCTCGGTGTGGCTGAGAACAGCACAGTCTGAGTCACGAAAAAGCCTGGATTTGAGCGTAATCACCACATGCTGAGTGCTCTCCCCCTTCACGCACACGGCACGCGGCAAACGCCCTGTTCACCCGTGTCCTTCCGGTGCCCCTTTAACAGGAACGGGCTCCCTGCTGCGGACACTGCCTCCCACGCGTGAGCGCTGAGCTGCTACAGTTCTTTAGGTCCGTTCGCTTTTCCCTCGCACCCCAGACTGCCAGCCTCGGCACCCCGAGTCCAAGGTGGCTGAGTTCCCCAGAGTGGGGTGTGGCCACGTGGTGGCCCCCAGTGCCTCCCTGGAGACCTTGGCCCGGGCCTCCCTCCTTATCTGGGGAGTCAGCTCTCTGCGGCCCTGGGGCTGGGCGCCCAGATTAGGGAAAACGTGCAGGCCAAGCAAAGTCCAAAGAGATACTACTGTTCGTTCTCAGAGAGGACCTGGGACAGGGACACGGGGAGTGAACCCCAGACCTCGGGACGACGACACTGATGGGGCCACACAGGGCGAGGCCGCGGCTGTCACAGCTCGGAGCCGCGGGCTGCCTGACCGGGAATTAAACCCCATGGACGGGCCTTTATGGACCCCCTGCGCCCAGTGCTGACCAGGCCCTCCGTGAGGTCCCATGAGCAGAGGCTGCACGCGGTCCCCAGGCCCAAGGATGGAGCAATGGCCGTTCTCGGGCAGCGGAGGAGGGGAGAAACCCCGGGACCCCCGGGGGCCTGCCCTAAGGACACGGTGTCTACGGCCCCAGGGGACCAGACCTCAGGCCCCGATTTCCCAGGTCACCACCTCCCCCTCGTGCGCCACCACCAGGGGGCAGTGCGGCGTACTGACACGGCGCTTAAAACACTTCTTAGTCACCATTCCTTTCTTATCGAAAGGGTACGGTTTGGTGTTTTACATTTGTGTGCCTCCGTATTCTCACCGCGGTGAAGGTAATACACGTTTCCATCACTCCGGAAGCTTCCCCCGGTAACCGCAGATCTGTTTTCTGTCCCTATAGATTAGTTGGCATTTTGTACGCGTTTTTATCATTAAAACAACACGGTGTGTACTTTTTGGTCTGGTTGTTTCTCCGAGCAGAGTTACTGTGAGGTCCACGCATACCGCGGCCGGTGCCGGTGGTTCGAGTCTCGGCGTTGCTGAGTCGTGGGCTGGCGCGTGGGTCGGCCGCAGTGGGCTCACTCATTCCCCTGGGGGGGGGGGCACTTTCGTACGGTGTCCGGGTTGGTCCATTCCCAATAAACCTGCTGCGAACATTTGTGTATATTCCTTTGGCTGAACGCTCAGGACTGCAGTGCGGGACGATACGGTAGACGTACGTTTAAGGGAGGAGAGAAGAACTGTTTCCGAAAGCAGCCGCTCCAGCTTCCTTTCCCGGCAGCCGTACCCGAGAGCTCAGCTCCTCCGCATCCTTGCGAGCGCGCGAGGTGGCCCGGCGACTCCGGGCCCTCCCACGGGTGTGCAGGGGTGTCTCACTGCGGCTTCCGTTTCTGTTTCCCTGATGACCAACAACACCTAGCACCTTCTCACGTGCTTACTCATGTCTTCTCCCGTGAAGTATGTCTTCAATGCTTTTGCCCATTTTCAAACTGGAGTTGCTTTCTTATTCACTACACATGTATTCGTTTACATATGAATTTTTCTCAGACACGTGGTTTGCACACACACGCGCCAGCCTGTGGCTTGTGTTTTCACTCTCATAACAGTGTCTGACAAGTAGAAGTTCTTAATGGTGTCAAAGTCCAGTTTATCAGTGTTTTCTTTTGTGGCTTGTGCTTTTGGTGTTGTTTTTGTGTAACCCATGCTCACAAATAGTCATCTCCTGTGTTCTATTACAGGAGTCCTAAAAAGGCTTGATTTAGGCCTGTGATCCACTTTGAGTTATGGGTAAAAGCTCTTTTTCCACATATGGACGTGATCACCCCAGTGCATTTGTTAGAAGTACTCTCTTGTCCCCATTCTCCTGTCTCCTGCTTCTGTCAAAAATCAGTGTGTGTGTGTGTGTGTGTGTGTGTGCACGCTTCTGGGTGGTTCTTTACTGCGCCCCGTTGATCTAGCTGCCACGCCACACTGTTTTGATAACCGTAGCTTTATGATGAGTGTTGGCATTAGGTAGGAAGTCCTCCCACTCCATCTTTCTCAAAGTCGTTTGGGTTAGTCTAGGTTCTTTGCATTTCCACATAAACTGTAGAATCAACGTGTCACTTTCTACCCTCCCCCTCCAAAAAAAAGAAAGCCTGCTGGAATTTTTATTGTAATTGTTTTGAATCTATAGATGAATTTAGGAAGGATTCAGCCAACCTTGCATTCCCAGACTAAGTTGCTTTTGGTCAAGACGTATATTATCCTTCTATCATTGCATTCTATTTGCTAAGCTCTGCCTAATAACGTTTGCATCTATGTTCATCAGGGGTACTGGTCTGCAGTTTTCTTGAAATGTCTTCGGTTTGGTTTTGGAATCGGAACAATGACGGCTTCCTACCACGAGCTGAGAGGCACTCCTTTCCCTTTAATTTTCTGGAAGCGTTTGTGTCAAATTGGTATTATTTCTTCCTTAAATGTTGGACGGAATTCACCAGTGAACCCGGCTGGGCCTGGAGTTTTCTCTGCGGGGAGGTTTTTCACTACAGATTCAGTTTCTCCTGTTGATGTGGGACTACACGGGTTACCCACCCCCTCCACAGTGAGCTTTGGTACTTTGTCTGTCTCGACACAGTGCTCTCCTGCTTCCAAGGCGGGTACCAATGCACCAGCCCAGGGAGGGCTCTTTCCTAAACAGTCCCAAGAACACTCTGACCTCTGTTGCCCAGCGCCCCCCCCCCCCGGTGTCAGGCTGTGACACTGACCAGGGAATGTGCAGCCCACAGCCCTGGAGGGGGAGCGGCAGCCTGCCCGGGAAGGCAGTGGCCTCCAGTTCCCTTCACCCTCAAACCAAGACACTGATCAGGATTCAAGCCTCCATACCAGCAGCTGCACTTGAGATGTGTCCACACATCACTGGAGTTTCGGTGCTCATGGAGAGTCAGAGAAGCAAGTCCTGCCAATCAAAGCTCAGGGACCCGCCCATCCTCCTGAGTCACTCAGCCCAGTGGTCAGTACTGAAAGCTAATCACGTCTCAACCAAATCAGAGTCTAACCTTTCCAAAGCTTTCTGTTGGCCACTGGGGGCGTAAAAAGCTCAGAGCAGTGACCCTCCCTTGAGCGCTGGGGCAGGAAGTCCCGTCTTCAGAGAAGGAAGCCTTGAGGTGGCACCTGGGGACACTCAGAGCCACTAAAAGGAAGTTTCCTTGGCGGGTGGAGACAGTGTGTGAGGCCCGACAGCTGGGATGTCTTCTTTCTCCGGAATCTCCACTCTGTTTCTCTTGGCGAAAATCCGGTTTATCTCCACGAACGTGCGGCCCTTGGTCTCGGGAATCACCACGTAGATGTAGACAGCGGTGAGGAGGCAGATGCAGGCAAACACAATGAAGCTGTAGGCCCCGATGGCCTCCTGGGAGAGGAGACGAGGAAGGAGGAGGGAGTGGAGGAAGCAGCGACAGGGGAAGGCCTTCCTGAGTCCTAGGGAGTTTCTTGGTGGCCAGTTTAGTGTTCACCACAGAGGAGCGAAATGGCTAGAATATCAGGTCCCGCCCTCACCTCCAAAGGAACCCCTTGGCCTTTAACAACAGGGACACAGTGCCCCGTGGCCTCGAGGTCTGGGGCAGTGGTGCACACCTTTGGGAATAGGAAGGCGGCAGCGGCAGCAACGAAATTTCTCCCCTCACCCTGGCTCCAGCTTGCTGCGCATTGCCTGTGACCTTGGCAGACCAGTGCCCCTGGAAACTAGCCCTTCTTCACCCTTGGAGTGAGGGGCTCCCGTCAGGAATGGGAAGCTGTCACATTCGGAGTTTGGCCACTGGCACCCGTGTGTTCCCCGGACCTCCCACGGGCCTGCGAGCCGCCCCCTCGTCCACGGAGCAGGTGTTCTTGGTAGAAGGGAACTGGTGCTCATTTCCCGAAGCCTCTGCCTCAGGGGCCGGCCCTGGGGGGCGGGGGGACAGGGAGGGGGTGAGGGCAGCCCGCCGGGCTCCCAGCCGAGGGCCCCACTCACCTGGATGGAGGGGAACACGAAGCCCACGATGAAGTTGGTGAGCCAGTGCACAGCCCCGTCCACCATGAAGGCGGCCGGCCGGGAGGACTGCAGGAAGATCTCGGTCCTCACCACGGAGGGGACGGGACCTCGAGGGCAGAGAGCACAGGACCGGTGTGGCGGAGCGGGGGGTCCCAGGGCCCGAGCCCCGCCCCAGGCCCTCCCGTGGATCGCCAGGTGTCCCAGACCGCGGAGGGAAGAAGCTGACATCCGTCAGCCGGTGCCCCGCTTCCTCCCCACTCTGGCTCCTCCTGGGCACAACCACGGCTGCGCAGAGCAGCGCGGAGGACAACCGCCCTCCCTCCGAGGGCCTCCAGGTGCCACGGAGTCGGCTCTCTCCTGGCGCTGGTGTCGTTTTCAAATTCTCAGCGGAGCTCAACGAGCGCCTGTGCCTGGGACGTGCTGCCCCCCCGTGGTAGGTTTGGGGAATGGCAGGCACCTGCTGCGGGCACCTCGCCTTGGGCCTATTTCTCCACTTTTTCCCCGAAGGACACTTGTCTAAAGCCACTTTTTTCTTAATCATAATCCTCTATAAAAATTTTAATATACACTGTATATGTTTATTTACTGTAAGCCTGTCTATGGCTTTACACGTGAAAAAAGGTTCTGTCCGTCCCCCCAGCCAATTTCCAACTCCTGGGGGTGTCGGGCCACGTGGGAAGCGCACAGCCCCGGTGGGTGGAGGTGGAGAGGCACCGAGAGCCCGCAGTGAGCTGCCCTGGGGACGGCCAGTGAGAAAGTCCCACCCTCCAGGGAGGGGCCTTCACGGGGGCGGGGGAGGGGCATCTGCGCCGCCCGGCCCCGCCGCCCGGCCCAGCACCCCCGTCCCCTCTGGGGACCCGGCCCACTTGTCACCTCAGTCCAGGGCCTGACCCCCACCCTTCCAGCTCGTCTGTTGTCCATGTCCTTCAGACAGGAGCCTGAGACCCGGAGAAGCTCGCTCCAGGTGACACGGGCAGTAAGGGACAGAGTGGCCGAGATCTCTGACCCACGACAGCCCCCTCCCTCCTGGCCCTCCTGCACTTGGGGCACGTGCCGAAAATCCCACCGAAACGTCCTTCGACGCGACCGTGTCGCCGGTCACGCCCACAGCCGTGTCCCCAGGGCCCGGCACTGCACAGACTAAGCAGGCGACCCTCCCATGCGTGTTGAATGGGTCACTCTTTTGGCTTAGGAACAGCTTTCAAAACCAGGATTCTGCGGGGAACGTTCTAGTCTTAGGAATCAGAGGCGCTTTCCCCTAGGCGGTGAGAGCAGGGTCTGGTCCTCAGAAGGACACTCAGAGGAGGGGGGCCGGGAGCTCGGGGGCTGACCGAGGGGTAGGCCCCAGTGCAGGCCCGAGGCTGCTGGCACGGGGACGTGGGGAGAAGCCAGCGAGGGAATGTGCTTGGAGGTCAGGGGGCCAAAGGCAACGGAGCCTCAGGTGGGCGCTGTGCTCGGAGGCTACAGGGAGCATAGGGAGGGTCTGGGCATGGACCCAGGCGCCCCCTAGTGGGGACTGTCTGGCATGGGCTCCCTCTTCAGTGGCTCAGCTCCAGGTGGGGGGTTGGCCCCGAGGCGGGACACTCCCGGGAGCCACAGGAGCTTGGGGGAGGGGACACTGGCCTGGCTGTGGCACTGGGTGGCACTTGGTAAATGCCTGTTGAATGGAGGAAGGTGCATGGGAATCGCCTCTAAGGAAAAGGTACAGTCAAGCCTCGGTTCTGGAACACCTCCATCTCGAACAACTCAGTTCTTGAACAGCTTTCAGGGATGACTTTGAGTTCAAGAGCCGAGGTCCCACAGCACGCTGAGCCCGGGCTCCGAGCGTGGGCGGGGTTTGGCCCGGGGCAGAGGAACGGGTGCAGTGAGCATCAGAGCGGCACAGGACGGTGCTCTCCCCGGAAGGCTGGGAGGGCGTACGCACAGGTACTCACTGGGCCCGATGGAATGTCCCGAGATGTAGGCGAAGACACAGATGACGCTGAGGTAGGACAGCTCCGGGACCGAGCTCTGTGGGGAGAGGCGGGGCAGTCGGTGGCTGACAAGGGCCTGGCCCGGGACCTCTGGGAGTTCCAGGCCAGGAGTCCCAGGGACAGAGAGTCCCCCTGTGCTCAGGCCGCCCTTCCTGCCACAGGCAGGAGCCGCACCTGGACTGCTGAGCACCCTCCTGGACCCCAAGGGCTCTGTGGGCAAGAGCGGGAGGCAGCTGACGCCAGGGTCTGACACCCCGCACTCTGGTTCCCAGAGGGCTCCCGCCGGCCTCCCCAAGCCGAGAGAAGGGTCACAGGAGGAGAACCCCCCTACTGCTCGTTTATTCTCTGCTCGTCCCCTTGGCCTTCCCGATGCCCGTGAGCGGGGAAGTTACTGCTTCAATCCTGCCGATACGGACGCGGGGCCCAGAGAGCCGGAACACAGGCCAGGAGGACCCGCGGGCCTCAGGGCTCAGGCAGAGACCCAGGTCAGACAACCAGCAGGGACAGTGCTGGGGCCCAGCTCCCACTGGCTGAGAGATCCTTCCAGAAGCCCCGAGACCAGGAGAGCTAGCAGACCACCTACGGTCGCCACAGCCAGGACAGCGGCCGGCACACCACCAGGCGACCAGACGTCAGCCCACCTCGCCGTGCAGGTAACTGCTGCACCACAACTATGAAACACGCTGCGGGGGCGGAGCCGGCGCAGCAGGTGGGCCAGGAACCCCTCCTTCCACGCATGGGCCTCCCAGCTTCAAGGTGAAAGATGGGGGGGGGGATCGGCAGCCTCCCCGAACTCGAGGTGACATGGGGCGAAGAACCAGAGCAGTGGCAAGCTCTGACTCACGTTTCAACAGAGACAACTGGGGGGTGGGGCGTGGGGGGGTCCACTGCTGCCCCTGCAGCTGAGCCTAAGCCTTTTTATATGGAAACACACATTCCATTGTAAATTCTCCTTTATGCCAAGGTTAGGGCATTGCATTCATTTACCTGCATGTCTGTGTGCAGGTGAGTGACGTCGCCCACGATCATCCCTGCAGGGCTGGGCGTCACAAAGTGCTTGCGTGGAATGGGGTGTGGGGCGGGACAGGGCTAAGAAGCGCCTGGGGCTACTGGTGCCTGGTCTGTTAGGGGGGCCTCCCACCCCGCTGCAGGCTCCGAGTCCCTGGTCCCTGCCGCCGGCCCCCTCCCATCTCCGGGGCAGGGAAAGGAGAGCAGACCTGGAAGAGCAGCGCCAGCGTCAGTGTGAGGCAGGCGGAGCCGCAGATGCCGTAGCCGACCAGCAGGAGGCGCCGTCTCCCCAGACATTCAACGGTGCCAGCCTGGAGCCGAAGAGGGGACAGTGGAGTGACTCTGTGGCCCAGGGGGCTCCCGGAATTCTTGGACTGGTGCCACCGCTCCCTCCTCCAGCCCCTCCCTCAGTGCCCCGTCTTACACTCTCTAGTTTCTGTGTTTGGTGCTTCTACAGCCTGGGTCCTGCTGACCCCGGAGGGCCTGTGTCTGCCATGGTTAGCTGTCTCCAGAGGCAGCGGACAAATCACCAGCTTTCACGCGAAACCCACCCATGCAGGGCCCACCCTCCGTCCTCCTCCTCTAGGGGGTCTCACGCTCAGGGCCACAGGCCCCAGTCACCCAGCACAGGCACCGGACGACCCAGGGCAGCCCCTGCGCCCCAGAACCCCTGAGAGCATTCAAACCGGCCACTTCTGAGCCTGAAGCCCCAGCCTTGCCGGTTCCTCCCCCGGAGGCCACAGCGAAGACTCTCGCCCACATTCCCCCTCCCCCCACCGCTGCCTCTGCCTCCTGGCTGCCCCTGGGGCCGCCCCGTGCCTCGAAGGTGGCGGGGCCCCTCCCTCCCTCCCTCTGTCCTCCCACAGTTTGGACTTTGGGTGACAAACTACCTCCTCCAAGGCAGCCATCCCGGCCACACCAGCCAGGATAATAACAGCATCCACCTTTACAAATAGCCGCCCCCTACCTGCCACCCCCCTATTCTCTCACGACCACCCAGAATCCGATCTCCTGTTGGGAGGGGCCCAGCCCCCCCACCCTCCTTTTTTCCCACCCCTCCTGGGACCCGTGCCTCTCCCTCAGCCAAAGGTGAGCCACGCTCCTCCTGGCCGGCCCCCTCCTCAGTCCTGACGGCAAGGCCAGCTCTATCCACCCCCACGCCAGCTCCCACAGCAGGGCCACCCTGGGGGCCAACTCAGTGGCAGGTCCCCTATGGTCACCTGATCACCTCGTGTGCGTCTCTCCTAGCCACGCCCCCCCCCCAGCCATGCTGCAGACAGGATGGCCACTCAGCGAGGCCAGACAGGAGCAGCGCCACACCGCCCACACAGGTTAGACACGAGGCCAGCTTCCCGCCCCCCTGCCGTGCTCACACCCACACGCTGCCCCCAGGAAGGGAGGGGGCTCCCCTGTCTTCTGGACTCAGTTCCCCTGGTACAATGACAATGGGGACCAGGGTCCCAGTGGTGACAATGGACCCTAGAGGGTGGATCTGCCCAGGGGACTCAGCAGGAGGCAGGGTGGACAGACCCCGGGAAGGGTGAGAACTCCCTGGGTGCCCCCCACACCCTCATCACCCTTCCCTGCCGTTTCCCTTCCTTCTCCTGCCCCGCCCTGTGAGCCCTCGGGTTGCTGGCTGGGGCTCCCGCTGGCGCTGCGGGGAAGGCGGATGAGGCACAGGTAGCTTTGTACAGCACCTTCAACCTCCCGGGAGCTCGAGAAGCAGAAATCGGAATAATAGTGGGAGAGCTATCTGTGGGGGGAGAGCTCCCTGTGGGGGGAGCTCCAGAGCAGGGGGTCCGACCCACAGCCCGCCGGGCACAGGCAGTCCGGGACAGCTGTGAAGGCAGCCCAGCACAAAATCATGAATTTACTCAAAACCTTCCTTTTTGCTCATCAGTTTTCGCTGGGGGTTGTGTATTTAACGTGTGGCCCAAGACTGCGCTGGTTCTTCCAGCGTGACCCAGGGACGCCAGAAGGTCGGACGCCCCGGAAGGTCGGGCACCCCTTAGAGAAGGGGGCGTCAGGGCACCTGGCCTTGCCCGTGAGCCAGTGTTAACTTTCGAGTTACTTTTTAACACCGTGTGCGGCGAGGTGCAGCCGGCTCGGATCTCAAACAGAGAACCACTAACAGCAGCGCCCCACCGGGCGGGAACCGCCCCTGCCGGGGCCCACGGGGCGCTGCAGTCGCCGCAGCCACGTCCCAGAGGAAGAAACGTGTGTGCGTGTGCGTGTGCGTGTGTGCGCCGCCCCAGGTCCGGGCCCCTCGGTGAGCCCCCTGGGGCTCCTGTCTGCCCGCAGGGCACCCGCTCGGGAACCCACCCCGCCGGTGGGAAGGGTCTTCCGGGTCACTCACCGAGACGACGGTCATCACGATGTTGACCACGCCGGCGCCCACGGTCACGTACTGGGAGTGAGCGGCATCCACGCCAGCCGACGTGTAGATCATGTCCGCGTAGTAGTTGATCTAGAGCAAAAGCCAGGGGCTGTGAGGCCGGTCCGAGGCCGTGGCCCCTGCCTTACCTTCCCTGACTCTCCTCCAGCTGATGGTCTGCAAAGCCCGGGGTGGGGGGTAAGGGGGGGTGGGCCTGGACAGGAAGGAGGCAGCTGGTGGCGGGTGGGGGGGCGGGGAGAGCTGTGGCTCAGGATGAGCGGGGTGAAACAGAGCCGGCTCCGCCCAGAATCCAGGGGATCACAGCTCCTCCGCCCTCCGAGCCGCGGCCTCTGCACCGTGCAGTGGGATCTGGACCCGACGCCCCCTGCGGCCCCTTCCTCAGCCGCTGCGTCCATCTGCCCTCCCCGGCCCCTCCGAGTGGCGCCTCACCTCGCACTCCGGGCCCAGCTCGGCTCCTGTTCTGGCCCAGCCCCACGGAAGTGGGCACGCAGCCCTCCCCAAAGCCACACGGGCTGCGGCCCCTTCGGGGGCTCCTACCAGGGCTGTTCCCCACTCCCAGCGTCACTTGCTCAACGTCCCCGAGTGCCTGGTGCCGCTCGTCCTGACACTTCCCTTCGGGGCCTGGGTTACCCCTCCCACCACGAGGTTTCTGGAAGCCATCCTCCAACCCCACCGGGTTTTTTTGTTTTGTTTTGTTTTGTTTTTCAGATCTCTGCTCTTCCCTCCACGCCACCGACGGGTCCAGCTATGGCCCGAGAACCAGGTTCACAGAACGTGATGCCACCAGTGGCTGAGGCTGAGCAAGTCCACGCTGGCTCCTGACCGAGCCTCGCCCACCCACCACCCTCCCCTGGAAGCCTGAGCGTGGTTCCGGGGGACCGGCAGCCCCCCACAGCCGGCTGGTCTCCTGCAGAGAGGGCAAAGGGCCACGGGCAGGAGACACTCCCTCCTGGGGACTGGGAAGCCGGCTTCCTCTTTTTCTGAAAAGAGGCAGGCACGTGGGGGAGCAGCCTGGAGAGACAGACAGAACCCCCCCAGGTTCCCCGCTAATGTTCTGCACCCTGCTTTCAGGCCGCCCCTGACGCCCAGCTGCACGGCCCAGCTGCTTCTGTAAACTGAGTCTGGGTTTGCTTTAGCCGTTTCCGGGGGCACCTCTGTGTTGCTTGTTCCCAGTCAACAGAACGAGCCGTGCAGTGGGGGGCGGCTGCCCAGAAGCCCTGGGCTTCCGGCTCTGCCTTCTCCCGGCTCCGGAGGAGCCCCCTGTGTCTCCCTCTCCTTCCCTCCTGGACGCAGAACTCGACTCTGCACCCTTGAACTTGGCAATAACACGCACACCACAGCACCGATGCCACCAGTACCCACGGCAGTTCGGTGACCGTTGGCGGGGTCTACCTGCATCAGGTGGCTTTCAGGGGGACCACAGGCTCTGAGCAGGGACCTCGCCTGACGCTTCCCCAGCCCGGCTGCAGGGAGGACCGCCCCCACCCACGTGGGCCGCCCTCCGGGCCCCACGGACCGCGTTGACGCCGGAGAGCTGCTGGCCGGCCATGAGCACCACGATGGAGACGAGCTGCCACCGCAGCGGCCGGAAGGTGAGCAGGTTGAGCACGGACAGGCGGCCCTCGGCCCTCTCCGCCTGGTCCTCCGCACGCATTTCCTCGATCTCGTCCTCCACGTTGGCCCAGCCCCTCAGCGTCCTCAGAGCTGCGGGAGCAGAGCAGGGCCCCCCGTCTGTTGCTGACGGCACCCACCTACAGCACCTGGAAGCAGGGGCAGCTCCCCACCCCTCGGCCCACCTCTGGCCGCAGGCTCACCGGTTCCCCAGAGCGGGGCGTTCTGACTCCAACTGGGGCCCAAAGACAGGGTGATGTCCCCAACTCCAACCACGCCTGACCCTGGCTTAGTTCTCAACTCTGGACACCAGTCGGCTGTGACCCTGACCTGGTCCCCGCTCTGTGCCGGACCACGGCCTGGCGCTTGCCCACGGGCCAGCACCAGCCGCATCTCCACGCTATCCTGCCAGTGCCTGCCTCTTGGGGCCCTTCTCCCCATCCGCCCCCCGCCTGTCCTGGGCTTTGGGGAGCCACAGAGGGACATCGGCAGGCGCAGGAGGTGGCAGGGAAGGGGGGGGCGAGAGGCTGTCAGCGGAGCAGCCGGCACCTGCAGTACCTTGTCGCGCTGTGTCCTCGTCGCCTTTCTGGATCAGGGTGTACCGCGGGCTCTTGGGGAAGAAGGGCAGGGTCAGCAGCTGCAGCAGCGCGGGGACCCCCGTGAGCGCCAGGAGCACCGGCCAGCCTGGGGGGGACCGACACGGAGAACTTGACCCTGGCCTGTCAGGGTCCCTGGGGGCTCTGGACTCCCCCAGCCGACCTGCGCCGCATCATCCTGACCGTCCTCTTGCCCACAATGCGCCAGCTCTCGGGGAGAGCCGAGGACAGTGGGGACCCCGTCCTTGCCCAGAGGTGGCCGGCTGCCCAGGACCCGCCCACACAGGGGTTCCACACTTAAAAACGGAGAAAATCATTGTACTTTTAAAAGATGGGTTACTAATTCCTTTGCAGGAAAAGCACTGCTTTTCTCAGGAACAGCACCGGACTTCACGACGCGAGCCCCGGAGCAAACGAAGCCGCACCTCGTTTCTGACTTTACTGCCGGACGGGGCAGAGCGTCTGCCTCCCGAGGCTGGGGCGTGCGCTCTGCCTGGAAGGTTTGCGTTGGGTGGGCAGTGGGCGGGTGGTGGCGGCGGGGGGGAGGTCGGAACACCCGCCGGCTGAGACGGGCACCGGACGAGCTGGTTCACCTCGCTGAGCCCCGTGTTCACATCGGAGAGACCAAGACCGGGATGTGATGGTGACGGCGAAGTGCCACACCCACACTGGCGGGGGCTTCCGCTCGGGCCCCCGCCCGAGGTCAGTGCGTGTCTGTCCGCTGCACGGGGCAGTGGGGGGACGGCCGACCGAGCGACCTTGGATGGAGCACCTCCCACCGGGGAACGAGTGCAGTTTGAAAACGTGTGGAGTGAAAACGCCAACACGAGACCCGCCCTGCGCTCGGGCCGCCGGACGGCCGCCCCGCCCTCTCCGTCTCCTCACTGCCCACCGTGTCCCCCTCCCCAGCCCACTCCCAGACGGTGGCCTTGCCTCCTATTTCACTGAGGACTCAGAAGCAACCAGAGGAAAACGTCCACGAGGGCCACGCCCCACCGGCGCAGCAGCAGTGACCTGGGCCTGGGTGTGCTTGTCCCCCTCCCGGGTCCCGTGCTCCTGGACCGTCCTCACAGCCCAGGACATTGTCACTTTTCCCGGCTGACAAAAACCGCTCCTCTCCAGCTCCCCCTGCTGGCTTCCGGCCCTCCCAGCAGAATGCCCACGAGGGCGTGAGCGCTGTGCCCCGGCCTCCCAGCCTCTCCTCCCCACCACGCACCCGACCTGTGCTCACCAAGGTCGCCGCGTCCACCAGGCTGCGCACTGCACAGCCCAGAGGTCCTGTCTCGGCCTCAGCGGGCTGGACCCGCCAGCGACATGGGCAAGACTGAGCGAAGGACGGGACCCAGCGCCCTCAGCCCCGGCACGGCCCCTTGGACCCCACGTGGCTCCACGCAGCCCCCTGCAGCCCCCCGTGGCCGGCCCCAAGGACCCTCCTCCCTATGACCTTGGCACGCCGTGGGTACCTGTGGGGTTGCCCAGGATGGCCTGCAGGCTGAAGATCTGCGCCAGGAAGATTCCCAGGATGACGAAAACCTCGGTCATCGTGCCCAGCGTGCCCCGGAGGTTCTTGGGAGCCAGCTCTCCCAGGTACATGGGAAGGGCGCTGTAGGAGATGCCTGGGTCCGGCAGAGCGAAAATCAGGGCAGAAGAGGAGCGGCCGCAGCCTCCCCGGGCCCCGGAGCCTGAGGTCCCTTCCAGCTCCAGCTCACACCCTCTGAGCTCAGAGCTTCCCCATGGGGTCGGCGTCCGCAGGCAGCTCACGCAGCCCCCGCCTCCCCCCACCCCTGGGCGGGGCAGTGGGCCCTGCGGGGTGTTCAGTTTGCACTGACTAGGGTCCCTCCTGGAGGCCCTCAGACCCCAGGGGCCACCGCGGTGCGTGATGACAGCCAGGTCCCCTCCTTCCTGGCTGCAGAGCCGGGGCCCCTGGGTAGAGGGACCTTAAGACGACTCTTTTGCTTTGACCTATTTTATGACTTTTCTGAAGCACTGAGTATTTGTATCACTTTTTAAAATTTTTTAGCAGAAGAAGCCACTACAGGGCTAAGAAGCCTGCCTCCCCTGCGGCCCGAGGCCCGGGCTCTGCAGGCCTTTAGCTCGAAGCCCCGCCCCCTCGGCGCACGGCGCGCCCCGCCCCCTCGGAAAACACCGCGGACAGCCTCTCGGTTACCGATGCTTCGAGGCGAAAGTGTGGGTTTTCAGAAAAGTCTTAAAGTTAAATGTATTCCGGTGACATTGGTTAATCACATTATATAAATTTATACTATGACATCTGTACACTCTGTTGTGCGTGCGCCCACCGCCCAAAAGTGTTTTTGAGGACCGTTCCCGATAGGAGACTTTGTCAGCTCAGGGGAAGGGGCCAGAGAGCAAGGGCCTGGGGACAGAGACGGGCGGCCGCCCCAGAAGGGACACGGGCCAGGCAGGGCCAGGAAGACCCTGGTCTCTGCCGTCCCTGGCCTTGGCCCATGGCACTGGGCGGATCAGCCTTGGACCATGCTCCCTTTATTCCCCCCCACCCCCCACCACCAGTGAACCTGAGCGTGGCCCTGGGGCCCCCTCTCTCCCTGCAGGTACCTGCGCAGACTCCCAGCACCACTCGGGAAAAGATGATCAGCTCGAAAGCCTTGGCCACTTTGCTGACTCCCATCAGGATGGCGGGGACGATGGCGAAGATGTTGTTGATCAGCAAGGTGCCCTTTCTGCAAGGACAGCGGAGCCCGGAGGGCGGGGGCTGAGGAGACAGGAGCTGTCCCGACAGGAACACCTGCCTGTTGCCCAGGCAGCCACTACAGCGGCTCGGGAAAGTGCCCTGGGGAGGGCCGGTGGCGGGGAGGAAGGGGGAGGCTCAGGCGGATGGACCGAGTCCCGGGAAGGAAGGTCTGGGTGGGCAGGGGTGGGGTGGGCTGCGCCTAGCTGGGGCTGGCAGAGGGTGGTAGGGAGGGAAGAAGGAGCGGGCTGGGGCTGCCGTCCCGGGCGGGGAGATTCCTGTCACCTGTGCCGTGTCAGCAGGGACCGGACGAGGTGAAGGTGGTCAGGGATGTGACCAGGAGGTCTCCACGGCCGGTGGGGTGCAGGGCTAGACTGGCCGGCCTCTCAGATCCCTGCCAGGCTGAACACCCCTGAGTCCATGAATCAGAGGCACAGGGGGCGTCTGAAAACGTACCTCGCTGCCCTGCCCCCAGGGCCACCCCCACCTTCGAGACTGCGCTCTCTGCCCCTTGCTGACGTCCACCAGTGGCTGTCTTGCACCCCCACCCCCACTTTGGCGTGGGTTTTGCCAAAGGAGAAGATGGTGGAGGGTCGGGAGGAAGGGGGCATCCCGGTTGTGCGTGGCTGCTGGCTGCACCAGCCTGTGGGGTTTGCCCACACTCCACCCACCTTTGAGGACACCCCTGTGCTGGGTCAGTCAGCCAGGGGGGTGAGGGTGGGGGGAGGTCTATGCCAGGAATGTGGGTGAGAGTTCTTTAAACAGAAAGACAGAACACCCTCCTGGGCGGCAGCCACAGAGCCCCATGAGGGTCCCCGGCAGGGCAGCACGGGATGGGCAGGTGTGCAGAATGTGGCCCCCAGGCCCCCTCTCTCTCCTGGGGCAGCTGTTCCCCCAGAAAAGCTGCCCCCAGGGCCCGGCGGAGCGCAGAGGGTCAGCCAGCCCCGAGACCCGAAGGGAACAGACAGCGCCCACCTGCTGGGCTCCCCCCACCCCTTCCTGCGCAGGGCTGGCCGGACCCCCCGGGCACCAGGCCGGCTCCACCGCCCAAGCCGGGCTCAGGGCTTCCCTCATCCGCCAAACGAGGGTGGAGATGAGACCCTCTCTGAGGCCCCAAGTTCTGTGACCGCGGGTCCAGGCGAGGAGGCCGGGCTGGGCGTCTAGAACAGTCCAGCCACTCTCGGTGTGGCTGAGAACAGCACAGTCTGAATCACGAAAAAGCCTGGATTTGGGCGTAATCACCACATGCTGAATGCTCTCCCCCTTCACGCACACGGCACGCGGCAAACGCCCTGTTCACCCGTGTCCTTCCGGTGCCCCTTTAACAGGAACGGGCTCCCTGCTGCGGACACTGCCTCCCACGCGTGAGCGCTGAGCTGCTACAGTTCTTTAGGTCCGTTCGCTTTTCCCTCGCACCCCAGACTGCCAGCCTCGGCACCCCGAGTCCAAGTGTGGCTGAGTTCCCCAGAGTGGGGTGTGGCCACGTGGTGGCCCCCAGTGCCTCCCTGGAGACCTTGGCCCGGGCCTCTCTCCTTATCTGGGGAGTCACCGCTCTGCGGCTCTGGGGTTGGGCGCCCAGATTAGGGAAAACGTGCAGGCCAAGCAAAGTCCAAAGAGATACTACTGTTCGTTCTCAGAGAGGACCTGGGACAGGGACACGGGGAGGGACTCAGTGTGAACCCCAGACCTCGGGACGACGACACTGATGGGGCCACACAGGCGAGGCCGCGGCTGTCACAGCTCTGAGCCACGGGCCGCCTGACCGGGAATTAAACCCCATGGACGGGCCTTTATGGACCCCCTGTGCCCAGTGCTGACCAGGCCCTCCGTGAGGTCCCATCAAGAGCTCTGTTCTCGCCCTGGCTGGCGTAGCTCAGTGGATTGAGCGCGGGCTGAGAACCAAAGCATTGCAGGTTCGATTCCCAGTCAGGGCACATGCCTGGGTTGCAGGCCATGACCCCCAGCAACCGCACATTGATGTTTCTCTCCCTTTCTTTCTCCCTCCCTTCCCTCTCTAAAAATAAATAAATAAAATGTTAAAAAAAAAAAAAAAGAGCTCTGCTCTCGCAGGCTGCACATGGTCCCTGGGGATGAGGATGGAGTGACTACCGTTCTGGGCAGCCGAGGAGGGGAGAAACCCCGGGACCCCCCGGGGGCCTGCTCTAAGGGCACGGTGTCTACAGCCCCGAGGGGGCTGGACTCTTCAAGGTCACGTCAGGGCCCCCCACCACACGCACAACCGCCGAGAGCGTGCGGTCTCCTAGCGTGGATCGCAGGTGAGAGCCGCACACCTCCAGGTTACCTGCCGCATCTGTCCACCAGCGGGCCCACCGCCAGCGACCCCAGCAGGCCGCCCAGGGGAAACATGGAGACGGTGCAGGACCACAGCAGCAGTGCGTCTGTCTCGCTCGGGACGGTCCCGTGGCGCTCGAAGTAGGTGTCGTTGTAAAACGCCTTCAGGACCTGGAAAACATGGGCCCGCCCGCGGCCAGCGCTATTAGGCGACTCACGAGCGAACTCCAGGAGGATGGCGGCCGCTGCCCGGTCCCCTCGCGCCCACCTTGTGCGGCGTGTTGACCACGGCGAGGTTGTAGCCGTACTGGAAGGCCGAGCCGAAGGCCGCGCTCAGGGTCGCCAGCACCAGCGTGGGCCGGAGCCTCTGCGGACGGACGGGAGGCCTACGGTCAGCGGCTCCGGGGTTGGCCCTGGGATCTCCAGGCGCGGGGCCCCGGCTTGGGGGTAACTAGGGAGGTAGGACCCCCCCCTCCAAGGCCATGCCCTGGGAAGGTGGGGCAGTGGCTGGCTGGGGGTGGGGCTCTCGGGGCTCTGACAAGGGGGCAGGGGCTGCGTGGGGAGTGTGGGGGCCTTGTTTCTTGTTCCTCCCACGCATCATTCCCTCCTGGGGGTTCTAGCTGAGCTTCAGCCACCTGCCTGGCTGTGGAGGAAGCAGGGGAAGCTTCGGGAAAAGGTCCAGCATCGAGCTGGACAAACAGGGTAACGGGACAGAAGTCAGGCGGGGAGCAGGGGACCCTCTGCAGTCGGTGGCCAGCCCTCCCTGAGCGGGGGGTGGGGTGGCCTGCGGCTGAGCCCTGAGCTGCTGGCTGAGGGGGGGCAGCCTGTGAGCGGCGGGGAAGGAGTACCGTGGGCCGAGGGAGCCGGAGCCGAGCCCCGCCCCCCACCAAGAAGCCCCCCGCCCCAGGTGGGTGTCCCCTCCCTGGCAGGCCCGCAAGAAAGGCCAGGCGATCGCCTTGCATGGCCGCCATAGCACCCGGGACAGCTCTGGGGGACCGAGGCGGCTGCCTGAGTCGGAGCTTCCCAGGACTCCAAGAAACCGGCTGATCCGGAGCCATCGCATGGCCCTCGGGTACCCTGACTCCCATCCACCCCCCTATCAGCTGGGTGGCTGCCAGTAGACCTCCACCAGCATACTGGTCAGTGGGTGCAGAGAAGGGCGGGGTGCAGGGTCCTGGCACCCTCAAAGGCTGGGGAATGGGCCGGCACAGGACCTGCCCTGCAAGGAGAGGGCATCTCCAACCTTACCCAGCCCCCCACGATTCCATAGAGCCGGACTCAACCTCCCTCTCTCGTGTCCGAGCTGGGGTGTCTGAGGAAGCGGCTATCCCCACGCTGACCTCCCAGGGCAGGCGACCCCAGGCAAGGCAGGGCAGTTAGGGTCCTCGCTTAGTCACAAGCATTTCAGGAGCCTTCTCTTCCCCCCCCCCAACAGGGCCCCCTTCTGGGGGGTTTCCTAGACTCCGCACTTACCCCCTTCCTGGGTGGGCTGGGTGTCTCCATCCGTGCAGGTGGGGGAACCGGAGCGCTCTGCCTCCCAGCGATGCCTGGGTCTGTGCCGCACTAGCCGTTTGTCCCGGGGCCGAGGTGGCTTTATTGCCTGTTGGCCTCTGGACCCTGCGGCTCTCCCCAGGAGCACGTTTTCCTCGGATGGGTGATAAGATACGTCGGGCATGGAGCATGGGTTCTGTCTCTGCCTCCACCAAGCCCCAGATCAGAAGCTGCCCCATTGCACCCAGGAGGGGGAAACGCCACCTGCCTCGGTCCCTGGAACCGAGCGGTCCCACCAGACGCCCGGCGGTCCCACCGGATGCCGGGCAGGGCCCGACTGCCTGGACCTCCTGCACGGTCTCTGTGCTTCTCGTGTGTGAGTTGTTTGCATTTCCTCTTACAAATGTGCACTGACTGTTCATCGGGGCAGGGGGGGAGATCAAACGACATACTTAAAAAAGATTTTATTTATTTATTTTTAGAGAGGGAAGGGAGGGAGAAAGAGAGAGAGAGAGAAACATCAATGTGCAGTTGCTGGGGGCCATGGCCTGCAACCCAGGCATGTGCCCTGACTGGGAATCGAACCTGCGATGCTTTGGTTCTCAGCTCGCACTCAATCCACTGAGCTACGCCAGCCAGGGCTAACAACGTACTTTTGAAGAAATACAACTTGATCATTTCTAACGACACCTATGGTATTAAATGTCAGTGAAATCCTGAGGCGTTTGTTTCTATGAAGAAAAAATAAAGTAGGAATGACTGAATCGGTTGTGGCAGGCTGTCGTTTCAAAGGATAGTCATGAAAGTTACGTAAGAATGTGGCAACACGTTAAGTCACCACAGCGGAAGACACTCGGGTGGCTGTGTAAAAAAACGCGTGGGCCTGGGGACGGTGGCGTGGGGGTGCCCCACCCCACGGGATAAGGGAACCCGAGGTCCTTGCTTCTCCCAACGGTCTGCTTGTCACAGTTCCCATATTCCGCAAAGCTTCAATTTTCAGCCTTTTCTCATCTCGTGGCACACATAAGCTCATTACTACAATTCCGTGGCACAAAAAATATTTTTTGCCAACCTGACCAAAAAAAAAAAAAGGTATAACTTTGGTGCATTCGCACCGAACGAATGTTCGTTGTTGTGTTGGCTGTTGTCGTTTTCCGTGTGATGATCTGGGGAAAGCGGCCAGTGCCCCGGCTGAGAAGGCTTGCGGCCCATCGCCGGGTGGAAACCGCCGCCGCTCTGCAGTGCTCCGGTTCCTCCTCCATGCCCCGCGGCGCCGGGGGCCTGGCGAGCAGGGTGTTAACTGTAGGAAAGGCTTGTGTCGTAGCTGTGTCACATGGGAATGGGCTGGGACACTTCTGCCGGAGCCAGAATGAGCCCCGAGGGGCTGTGCGCAGCTGGTCGCCCAGTGAGGGGCCCTCTTTCCTGCTTTCAGGCTGAGCCTGCGCTCCTGGGTTCTGCTTGAAGTGTGTGCGGCCTGCCCCCAGCTTTCTGATTTTCAGGCCCCATGGGGAGAGTCAGGGCCCTCTCACAGCAGTGGGCAGCGGGGTGTGCAGCCGCACTGCCCATCACGGCTGCCCCGTGGGGGGACGGGCTGGATCTGGTGCTCATGCTTGCTGCTCTCTTGCTGTGAGTAGACGCTGCGTCACCAGAGCCTGGTGTGTGAACTGCCTGTTGTTGGCGACCTGCACGCATACGCTGGTCCCTCCCCTCGGTGGCACTTACCGGCCTCTTAACCTCGGCGGCACAGCCTGGCCACCCAGTGCACCGTGAAACAGTGACATCCAGATCTCCGCTAACAGTCTGTTCGAGGCGATCGAGGCTTTTCCTATTGTGCTCCTCAGATTTCTTCCAGCCCCTTCCCGTTGCCCAGTGCCACAGCCATTGCCGTATTTCTAGGTACTTGCTACAGTTTCTCCCACTCCCAGCACCAAGGTCTGTATGAGCTTCCTGTGGCTGCTGTGACACATTACCGCACACTTAGTGGCTTAAGGCAGCACGTTTGTTACCTTACGGTTCTGGAGGTCATAATGGTGACGCGGGTCCCCTGGGGCTACAACCGAGGTGTCCCCAGAGCTGTATGCCTCCCTGGAGGCTCCCAGGGGGAATCCGTTTCCTGGCCTTTTCCAGCTGCTGGAGGCCCCTGCGGTCCCCGGCTCGTGGCCCCTCCCTCCCTCCTCAGAGCCGCAAGGGGAGGCTGAGTCTTTCTCGTGCGGCTGTCTTCCCAGGTCTCCCATCTCAGCGTGGCTACACTGGGTCCCATTGAATAATCCACAGTCACCTCCCATCTCAGAGTCAGCTGATCAGCAACCTTAATGCCACCTGTGATTTCAATTCCCCTTTGCCACGTCACAAACCACAGTCACAGGTCTGGGGATCAGGACATGGGCACGTTGCTTGGGGGGATGGGCACAGCCACCTTGCAGTTTGCTCCTAAGTCTCCTGAGTGCTAGTCCACCAGGCTCGTCGGCTTCCCCGGCGCGCGGAGCTCTGCATTCCCCCCGCGTGCCTCCTGCCTGGCTGGTCCCAATGCTTACACCGGATGGTGGATGGCGCTGACTAACTCTGGGTGTCTCCCCCGCCTTTCTGAGTCGACTGCAATCGCCAAGTCAAGCGGATCGAAAAACCAAGCTCCTTCCTGCCGTTCCTTCTGCTTGAAACATCCTGCCCCAGGTCCTGGCTGAAACAGCGCCCCCTAGGGGAGGTCCCCTGTAAAGGAGGGGCTGTTCCGTGATGGGACTGCTGCCGGACCCACGAGCCCGCCTGGGCCGGAGTCGGGGGGACCGCTCTCTGCAACACTCGCCCCTGAGAGACTGGTGGTCCCGGGCGTTCATTCGGCATAAACCAGCGCCCCTCCCGAGCCCCCGGCTGTGCGTGGGGCCCTGGAACAGGCTGCGGTCCTCACCTGGTCACGCATGCAACTTCCCGTCCGTGGTAGTGCTCACGTGCTAGTTAGTACCTGCGGCTACTCTCCGCCCCCTCTACCCTGGGTAAGGGCACGAGCCAAGCAGCCCGGGGGCCATTCCGTGTCGCAGCCACCCAAGACATGCCTCACATGTAACTTCCCCTTAATGAGCTTTATTCATTGACCCTGGTCGGGTGGCTCGGTTGGTTGGAACATTGTACTGTACACCAAAAGTCTGTGGGTTTGATTCCTGGTCAGGGCACATACCTGGGCCACAGGTTCAATTCCTGGTCAGGGTATATGTGGGAGGCAATTGATCAATGTTTCTCTCTCTCTCCCCCCTCTCTAAAATCAATAAACAGCCTTTGGTTGCTGTTTATTTGCGGCTCAGTGGACTGAGCGCCAGCCTGTGAATGGAAAGGTTGCCAGTTCAGTCCCCAGTCAGGGCACATGCCTGGGTTGTGGGCTGGGTCCCCAGCTGGGGGCGAGAGAGACATCTCACACAGAGAGATCTCTGTGAGAGAAACATCTATCAGATGCCTCTCTCATCATCTCTCTCTCTCTCTCCCTCCCTTTCCCTCTCTCTAAAAAATAAACACAATTAAAAAAATAAAATCAATAAACCTATCCTTGGGTGAGGATTAAAAAAATATCAGAAAAGTTTTAAACTCAATTCCTGACCGGACTGGGGCGGCCAGTGCCTTTCTCTGGTCTTCCCCTGGGCTCAGCTTCTGGGGGCAGCTTTTCAGCCTCAGGGCCTCCCCCTGGGTTGGCACGAGCCAACATCCTCCTCCCTACGACCACCCTTTCCAAAGTAAGCCAGCACTTGCCTGGCGGTCTCCCGCACTTTACCCCGAGTGCTACCTGCACTGACCTTAAGTGTTTGTTTGCTTCTTCTTGGCTGTTAGATCCATTATATCCACTGCCTGGCACGTAGCAGGTGCTCAGAAATATTGGCTGAATGAATGAATGAATGAATGAATGAATGTCCTTGAGTTATGATGCCCCCTCTGCTACCCTCCAAGACACCCCGGCTTCTGTTTCTGCACAAACCTCACTGTTCTTGACACCTCAGCTCACGGTTGGTTGGCCTTTTCTGGGAGGCCACTCTGTTCACATGCATTCACTCGACATTATTAATGGAGGCCCAGCTCCCTGTGAGATGCTGGAAGCGGCTCAGCTGGTAAAGACGGTGCAGGGCAGGTGCAAAGCTGGACACAGTGGGCTTCCGTGTGGTCAGTTCTCGCTGTCCCGTGGTTCCTTTTTGCTTATGGTTCTCATGTCCTGGCTAGACTGGAAGAAGCCAGAAGAAGCCGTGTGTGCGTTACTGCCGCGTCCCGGTACCGAGCCAGACCAAGGGCGCCGGGAGCCGCTTCTAGTGAGCCCCCAAGCAGCGGCCAGGAATCGTGGAAGAGAAAGATCAGCGCGTGTTGGTGGGTGAGGGCACCAGCTCGCCCACGTGTTTACAGAGAAACACGTGCCAGTCAGGGGGTCAGGGTGGTGTCCACCCACCGCCTCCTTTTTCCTCCAGGAGCCGATTTTGGGTGACAAGACTCTGCCTTGTTCACGTGCCGGCGCGGGACTTCAGACTCCGTCCTGCACGCCCTCCTGGGATGATAACAGCCAGTGCTGCCGCCTTCCTGAGCCCGAAGCCAGTCCCCGCCATGGCTAAGTGGCATCAGGAGGGAGAGCAATGTTGTCAGGGCTCCACAAAGGAAAATATTTGCTTAAAGGAAGGCAGTGTATTCTGTGGTTGCATTCTTCCGACGTAGCAAAATGCCCTTTTAAAAATTGTCTGCTTCTCACTCTGATGGTAGTTGGGAGTTACTGATTTATTCATTTTTTAGTGTTTTTGCTTGCAAAATGAAAAGTGTTAGAGCACCCAGTGTTAGATCACCCAGTTTGGGTCAGTGACGTCCAGACGTGTGGAAGCCACTCGTGAACTCTGCCCTCCAGCCGCCTTCCCCAGGGGACGCTGTGTCGCTGTGGGGCTGGCAGTGCCTCCAGAGTTACACCTGCGCCTACACTCAGCCTCACTTTGTTCCACCTTCACCATTTCCAACCAGCTGGGAGGGCTCATCCTTCTACATGGTCCCGGAGCCCCTGCTGGGCGCCGGCACTGCTCTCCACATGGTGGATACAGCAGCAAACAATCCGGGTGGGTCTGTAGCCTCTCCTCTTCTCCATCTCCCTCTGGGGCTAACTGCCCTGACCTTGACTGACCTTGATCTGCATCCAAGGGGCCTCTCATGTCCTGACATTTTTCAGTTCTCCCAGAGTGGCATTTCTGTTGGGAACCGCCCTGCCTGGTATCAGAAGCTGTAACCCCCGCCAAGGCTAAGGCTGAGGGAATGACCTTGGACCATAAGCCAGCAAGAAGACAAAAGCTTATCTCTCTGGCTCAGGAGCACCGCTTCTGCTCCTTTTACTTCACCCTGCCTGGCCCCCAATGCTTGGTCGGTTACCCAATGACGGGTAAGATTCCCCAAGGGGTCCCCTTGGGGACCTAAGACAGGCACAATCACATGGGAGGCCCCCAAGGAAGGACTTTGGGGGTTACAGCAAAAGGGGGTGATGGACCCTCACCCCTCAGCTTTGACATAGCCTGAGTCCTCATTGTCTGTGAGAAAATTTCCTAATCTTTTGGCTGCCTTACTTCCCTTGCTCCATCTACGCCTGACACAATGACGGAGGGTGGTGCAGCCCTGTGCTGGAAAGGGCGGGTTCCCCAGGTGATCAGGCCTCAGAAAGAATATGTAAAACCCTGTGAAACCTGCTTTGTTCAGAATGCTCTCAATTGAATGATGAGGGTCCAGGGAAGAAGTAAGTTTGTTCCTTAAAGTTTTTTACAGCTCTTTGACCCTGACTCAAAATAGGCCCTCAGACTTCCTTGTTACCTGTTGTTTGATCCTTACTTCCTGGCAATGAGTAATGAGCTTTACCTGAATTCTTATGCAAACGAACCCAATAAAAAGCCTCTCTGGCGGGGGGGTCGGGGGGGGGGAACGGCGCACTCCCCACCAGAGAGAGTGGCCATTCCGTTCCTACTTCCCCACCGGACCTGGTTGTCTCTGTGTATGTGTTTCTCCCGTGTTGATGAGCCATCCCCAGCGTTCTGCGGTCACTGCCGGCCGGCATTTCTCCTTTGACCTCACTTACCTTGTAGCCAGCGCGGCCGCTCCGGTCTCCGAATCTTTTCCATTGCCTCATCCATCAGTAATAAAACTTTGAACACAAATCTCCAGCATATGCATATTTGTTGCTTCTAAGGGATACACGTGTATGTGTCGTGTGATAAAACACACACTCAACCGGGAATTGGGGAGGGAGGGGGAAATACAGACAAGTGTAGGCCCTAGTGTCTTCTCTGCTGTCACCCCCGCAGTCCCCTCTGCCCTCATGTCGCTCAGACGGGCTCTCCTGAGGGTGCTGCGTCATCGAGTCCAATGGACACTTCCTTTTCCAGCCCCAGAAAACGCCAGAGCTGCAGCTGGGTCTTCTTTGGTGGCCCCGGTGCCCCTCGCTTGGCAGAGTCCCGCCCCCCACCTGCCACCATCTCCCAGTGTGCACCAGGTGCTCTTGTAAAGAGTAGGGAAAAACTTAGACCATGAGAAAATAGGAATCTAGCTAGCTAGGGCCAGGAGATTACTAGGTTACTGAACAAACATCCTGCCTTCCTGCCTTATGCAAGAATGCTTGGTTTGAAATTCCCGCGCGCGGTCTTTGTAAGCGAATTGCTAACTGCCACGTCTGCTTCTGTATAACGCTTGCTCGCCCGCCCCTATATAAGGTCTTAGCTGTAAGCGCTCGGCGCGGCTCTCGTTTGCAGCCCCTTGTGGGTACCGTGTCGCTGGACACTTTGAGAGTTCGCCCCTGCGCAGGTTAAACTTGGCCAATAAAGTAACATCCTTGATACCCTGAAAGTCTCCGACATTTGTTCTCGAGTTTGCTGGATGCAACACTCTCAGGCATCCCTGGGGCTTGGACCCATTTGGGGAGCGTTGGGAAAGGGCCTGATGTTCTCCCGGAATGCCGGAATGACTCCACATCGCAGATCAGCTCAGGACGCTCCAGCCTAGAAATCTCCTTCCGGTCCCCTCTCCCTCTCTGCCCCGAGTCCTCCTCACCGCCCGGACCTTGGCCAGCCCTCTCTCGCCTCGGGACGTTTGCACCTGCTGCCCCGCCGGCCAGGCCCACACCTGCGCAGGTGCTCTCCTGGTCGGCCCCGTTCCTCGCCTGTGAAATCCAGAAGTGTGGGAACCGCTTGTGAAAGCGACCCTCCAACTGGGCGGAGGAACGCTGCCACCCCCACCTCCCTCTCGCCCCTTCTGCTGCTCCCTCCTCCCTTCCCGCCCCCCTTCCTCCACGTGGTTTCTGCGAGGCTATAGCCCCCGCGCTGTTCGCTTCCTGGGTGCCCTCAACACCCTTACGCGGTATTGAACTCTTCATTCCACTCCCACAAAAGCCGTTTCCAATCCCCTTCTGTCGCCCCAATGCCAGATTTTCCATTCAGCGGGCGCTCCCTCCGCGCCCCTTTCCCACGCCACAGAGTTTTCTCGGCCGTCTCGAACACGCCACTGGGACACGCACAGGTCTTTGTGCAATGCCTCTAGCTCTGCTGCATTCATGGGGAGCGCTCCCTCCTCCCTCCTCCCTCCTCGCCTCACCTTTAGGACCCCTCACTGTTCGCTATGCACCGAGGACAGGCAGCGGCTTCCCCAAACTTAAATTGTAAAAACTCACAACTTGGCGACCGCCTCGTCGTTCATGTCTCCCCTTCTTTCAGAAGAAAGGGCCCCCCGTGCCTCCTCCCTTCCTGCTCTGGACCATGGGGATTCTGGGATAAACTGGTCAGACCCCTGTCCTGCCGGGGCGGCCGCTCGGGCGCGGCCACCCGCTCCCGGAGAAGCAGCGGGTCTTGGTGAGAGTGATCACGTGTGTTTTATTGAGTACATGGGGGCAACTGCATTGTCCTCTGACAATCTAATTCAGGGTCAATCATCTCTGACGTGGTTACAGTCTAAGTAGGGACCCGTTCCCTCACTTCCTAGACGTCCTCACTCGCGGCGTTGCACTTGCCGAGGGTGGTGATGCCGGAGCCGGACCTCACCGGGGGATGAGCTCTGCTCTGAACACACGCCCGCGGCACCCCCCCCCCCCCCCCCACCCCCGGAAGGCCCACGGGACTGGAGGAGGGTTTGTTTCTCTGGCCAGATTTGATCCCTTCTATCTGACCACCGCAGAAGTGGTTTCTGTCACACAAGAGCTGGTGTCACGGGAGCCGCACGACGGCCAGCCCGGCCACGGGGGAGGGCCAGCAGCTCACTGACTCAGGGTTGCTGGCGGGTCAGGCCGGGGAGAGACAGTCTGGCTTTTTGAGAACCGCACAGAAGCCCTTCGGGCAGTCCCAGCGGGGCCTGTGCTCCGCCGCACTGGACGCGTCCTAGTTCTGGGTGTTTACAGACAGACAGACAGCCGTCAGCCGGACAGGAGCCCGAGAAGGGGGCTCCACACAGACCCACTGAGCAGGCTCCGCCTCTTGCGTTACTCCTCCAAAGTGGAGGGTGGCAGGTCCTTCAGTTCCTCCTTCTCGGGGTGCACCTCTGACACCTTATTCTTCTTGGCGAAAATCTGGTTGATCTCCATGAACGTCTTGCCCTTGGTCTCAGGGATGATCAGGAACGTGTAGATGGTGGTGAGGAGGCAGATCCCAGCGAAGAGGATGAAGCTGTAGGCGCCGAGGCCCTCCTGTGGGGGAGGTGAGCCGGGCTCACTTTCTTGACAAGGTTTCCCCTCTGCCGCCCCAGAACTGTGTGATCTGGGGCCCCCGGGGTCACACGTACCTGAATGAAGGGGAAGAGCAAGCCCACGGCGAAGTTGGACAGCCAGTGCACGCTGCCCCCCACCATGAAGGCCGGCGGCCGGGACGACTGCAGGAAGATCTCAGTGATAAGCAGCGCGGGGATGGGACCTTGGGGGGCGAGAGGGACAGCTGAACTCCCTGGAGGCGGAGCAAGCCCACCAAGGGTGCCGGAGCCCCTGCTGTGTGCAAGGAGCCGAGAGGGGAGGGGGGGGCGGCGCGTCTCTGGGACTCCCTGTCCTGTGCAGAAGCGGCGTGAGAAGGCCAAAGGCAAGAGTGACACCCTGTGATGCCCCTGAAAGGGGCCTGTGACCACCTGTGAGGCTCTCACGGCCAAGCCTGGTGCAGCACGCTTCACTCAGCCCACACGGACGGCTGGACCGCTCTCGCCCTGGCCGTGCTCTGCCCAGCCCCCGCTGCCACAGCGAGACAGTCCCTGAGCCCCTCCGAGGAGCCCAAGCCAGGAGTGTCTATGGCGGACGGCGCAGGGGGTCGGCGGGGTGGGGGGCAATGGAAGCATAGAACCAGCCCCGGGTACTTACTGGGCCCGAGGGCGTGTCCTATGACGTAGATGATGACGCAGGCGATGCTGAGGTAAGGCATCCAGGATATTGTGTCCTGTGGGGGAGAAACAGAGTGCGGTCACACCTGGCGAGGCAGAGATGGCCAGGATGGGGAAGGGGAACGCCGGGAATCCAGCCTCCCAGAGGGCCAGTTCGCCGGCTGGCTCCCCCTGCAGCTGGCAGCGCCACCTGGGGCCACCGGGAGATTGGCGGGAAGTGGGCTCCTGGGGGCGGGTCTGGGGGGCCGCGCGTGTGGTCCGCCTGGGCCCCACCCCCTCACCTGCAGAGCCAGAGCGGCCGTCAGCACGCAGCAGGCGGTGAAGCAGGTGGAGAAGCCCAGGAGGAGCAGGGACCTCCTTCCCAGAAGCTCCACCACGACCACCTGGAGGGGAAGAGGCCCCGGAGAGTGGGGGAGGGTTCAGGAGCCGCCTTTGCTGGAAGCTCCTGGCCCGTCCCGCACCCCTCTTCTGAGGGGCAGCTGTGAGGGGAGCCCACGTGTTGTGTGAGCCCCAGAACAGCCGGCGGGCCCCAGCACCCCTCAGCCCAAGGGTCCCATCTTCTCCTGCCACGTCATGGCCCCGGCCCGGGGATCGGCTTCCGAGAAGCCGGAGGACCGCCCCACACAGGGGGGCCAGGGCTGCCCCCCACCCTGCCCCAGAGGGGCTGTCGTCTGAGTAGGGCCCGGAGGCCGCACAGGAAGGGACCGAGAGCCGTGTCCCCGGGGCACTTACAGCGCACATGGTTATCACCACGTTGACGGCCCCTGTGCCCGCCGTCACATACTGGACGTCACCCTCCTTCACCCCCGAGCTCCGGTAGATCTGGTCTGCGTAGTAGTAGATCTGGAAGGCAGGCCCAGGGTGAGAGGCTGCGGGGCTGGCCCCGCCGCGGCCCGGACGCCGCCCGCCGCCCCCGGCCCCCGGCCCCCGGCCGCCCCCCTACCGCGTTCACTCCCGACAGCTGCTGGCCGGCCATGAGGATGATGATGGAGATGACCTGCCACCGCAGGGACCTCAGCCTGAACAGCTTTATCACGGAGATGAAGCCCGCGGCCCTCTCGGCCTCGTCCTCCCGTCGGATCTCCTCCATCTCCGCGTCCACCTCGTCCCAGCCGCGCAGCCTCTGCAGCGCTGGGGGGAGGGGCCAGGGTGGGTGGGTGGGTGGGGGGTGCCTGAGGCTGGGCCGCCGCTCCCCCCGGAGCAAAGACCCAGCGACGCTGGCCCTGTCCCTCCGCCCACGGGACAGCCTTACCTTTCCGGGCAGCTGGCTCGTTTTTCTTCTTAACCAGCAGGTACCTGGGGCTCTCGGGGAAGAAGGGCAGCAGCAGGAGCTGCATGACGGCTGGGATCCCGGTCACAGCGAGGAGGATGGGCCAGCCTGCAAGGATGCCAGTGTCCCCCATGAGTGCCGCTGCAACACCACCTGTCACAGAGGCCCCCCACCCCAGCCAAGAGTCCTGCCCCTCCCTGCCCCCGGCCCCCACAGCGCCCAGCCGGCCGCTCGGTCCCATCGCCCTGATCAGGGCTGCCACCCAGGCTCTGAGGGGGGCAGCCCTTGGTCTTTCTCATTCCCCACGTCCCCAGCCCCTAGGATGGTGCCCGACACACACACTTACAAAATGGACAGTGATTCGGGGCCAGTGCCCGCCTACCAGGTGGACAAATGAAAAACTCCGACACCCCCAAGTGCTGGCGAGAATGTGGGCAAACAAGAAGTCTCCACACTCTCGTCGTGTGGACGTGTGGCATCTTTAGAGGACAGTCTGGCAGGAGCTGGGGGTGCTGGACACCCTCCCCGCTCTGACCCAGCAGTCCCGCCCAGGCACGTGCGCGGGCCACCAGGGTGCCCGGGCCAGAACGCTAAGAGCAGCCCTGACTCTAGAGTAAAACCCGGAACAGGGCAGGAGCCGTGGTGGTAGAGGAGCTGCGTAAACTGTGGCGTGTTCACAACGTGGAATTCTACACTGCAGCGCAAATGACGCAAGACGCCAAGGAGCCTGTCTCGCAAATGCGGCGCTGGGTGCCATCAGCTACTCGGAGGGTCCCGCTGGGGAAAGTCCAGAGGGTCCCGCTGGGGGAAGACAAACTCTGTCTTTGCAAAACGTGGTGAAACCGCAGGGCAAAGCGAGGAGGCGGCGATCACTAACATAAGCACAGCGGTGCCTTTGGGGGGTCGGAAGGCCACGTCCCAGCGGCGCACCATGGGCTTCGGGGGGCTGGCTCGGTCCTAGCTCTGGACCTGGGTGGTGGTCATGCAGGTGTACGGTTTCTATCTGACCAAATGCACATTTATGTTTCATGCGTTCTTCCCTCTGATAGGCTTTGTCTCACGGCGAAAACATTTCCGTGAGTGAGTAGTTCCTTCCAGGAGCTATTAACACCCTGACTCATCCCCCCGACCCCCTCGGGCTTGCCGTCTGGGATGGCCACGGACATCTCTGTGCTGGTCGGCTCTTCACGTGCTACCCCACTTCTCCAGCCCAGTGATGTCGAGAGGCAGGGACCAGGCCCCACCCCATTTTGCATGTGCAAACGCCGAGGTCCCGAGGGTGCAGGCCCCTTGTCCCAGAGCAGTTATTTAGGAGCAAAACCAAGATTTGAGCTCAGGCATGTCGAACCCTGGGCCCCCTGAACCTCAGGTAGCACAGACTTTCAGTCAAACTGAGGGGGTAGGTGGCCGCCTGAAAACCAGGGACTCACCGCTGTCTCTCATGAACTAGATCCCAGCCACTGAAATGGAAGCGAAATAAAGGAAGAAGACCCACAGTTTAGGCATCATCTATGGCAAGTCATGTTTCCACCTCTGAGCCTCCCCCCATCCCATAACTCCATTGCTCTTCACCAACAAAAGGACTGCTATGCAATGTCAAGTTCAACTGCTGCCCAACTCCCCCCAGCCAAGGCTGGACCATCTCTTCCCGATCTCAGCTGTGAACCTGGGCCTCGCTAGTCCTGGATCCTGCTTCACCACCTTCACGGCAAATGTGCACTCACCTCCCACTCGGGCCACTGCCGTCTGGCCTCTGGCCCCCATGCCTGCTCACCCCTACACCGAAACTCTTCTGAGACCTTGAACTACCAAATCCAGACCCCGAGTTTCAGCCCTGACCCCCTGACTTCGCGCTGTGACCGCCGCTTCCTCTCCGACAGTGTTCTCTTTGGGCCTGCCCCCTCTGCCCCTCCCTCCCTTGGTCCTTGAGCACCTGTTCTGCGCCAGGGGCTGTGCGGGGGACTCTGAGATGAGTGAGGCCAGGCCCTGCCCTCCATGACCCTGGTCGTGTCTGAGTCTCAGCAAGGACGGGGGGGCGAAATGCAGCCCAGCACCACATTTCCAGTGCCTGGCACGCACAAAGAGCCTTCCCACGTTCACACCCCCTGCCCCTGCCGGGAGCCCAGTCCTGCTCCCCGTGGGGGCAGGCCCTCTCTGAGGCTCCTCCCGCACACCGATGCCGGGGCGGTCGCTCTGGGCCCTGCTGCTTATTCCCGCGCCATCGCCAGGAGACGGGGACCTACCTCCTCCACCCTGGTCCCTGCTCCCTCCGAGGGGGGGCTACAAGGTGGGAAAGGGCGGTGATTAAACCTGGCCTAGGCCTGAGCTACCCGGGTTTGCGTCCGAATGAGACCTCGAACACATCACCCAATCTCTCCAAGCCTCAGGCTGCGCATCTGCAAAACGGGCACAATGCCAGTGTGTGCCTCCCGCGTGGCTCGGGGGATTGATGGGCTGATACAGGTCTCATGCCTGGCCCCCGACGAGCACTGAATACATGCTGACTGGTGCTATTGATGCTGATTTCCCTTCCAGAGGTTCGAGCCCCAAGTCAGAGAAAGGGGAGGTCACGCAAACACAATGACGGTTATGAGTTACTCTGCACCTACTATGTGCCAGGCCCTGGGCTCCTAGAAACGGGTGTGTGGCCCTGGAGGCAGGGTCTGGGTGGCCCCGTGACTCCCCACCTGGCCCACAGGGTTGGGTTGCACGTAAGGGGACCACACGCAGCCCCCCCGGCAGTGGCGCTGCCGAGAGGAGGCGCCTGGAGGCCGTCGGCACAGAGCCCGGCCTGTCCTCACTGTGGCCCTGGCCCGCGTGTGGACAGCCACCATCTGGCCCAGAGGGAGTCAAACAACAGCACTTCCTGCTCCCTCAGAGCCACCTCACCAGTGTCCTAAGAGGGACTGAAAAATGTCAGCCACTCCAGCCCCACCCACGTGTGGGGGCATGGCCACGGGGGCGCCCAGAAGGACAGCCAGCTGGTTCCAGGGGAAAGCTGGGCTCCCAGGGATGCGCAGCGGGGCGGGGGGTGGGGGCTGGGGGCCCGCAGGCGAACCGAACCTACCGTTGTCGTTGGCGAGGACAGACCGAAGGCCGAAGATCTGGGCCACGAGGATGCCGACGGTGATGAAGAGCTGGGGCACCACGCCCAGGGCCCCTCTCAGGTTCTTGGGGGCCAGCTCCCCTAAGTACATGGGGACGACGTTGGAAGACAGACCTGGGAGGAGGGAGAAGTAAAAACGCGATCAGGACACTGAGTCTGGCAGGGACAGGCCGGGCCCGCAGATAGACTTATTCTCAACTCAGCGAGCACATCCTGTGGGCTGAATCTTTCTCAAAACCGAACGGCCGAAGCAAGCAGACACCTCTTTTAATTCTTGGTCCTTTAAACTCGGAGGAAAGAGAATGCAGTCCAACCAAGGAAGGTCACGGACAGGTGCCTTTGTGTCCCGACCGGTGTCACCTGGGGACACCTGGCTGCAGGCCTCCCCTGCACACCGGGTGGTCCGGGAGAAGGCATGCCGGGTGTGGTCCTGACACCCTCTGCTCTCTTGCTCCCTGGGGGGGTCTGCCGGTGAAAGGTCAAGGTCCCCCGCCCACCAGCTTCACCTTCTGAGACAGCGTATCGCACAGTAAACTGGTGCATAGACCCTGAAGCTGCATTCATCCTAAGCATTAGGAACTCTGCTGTGGAATAACTGCTGGCCGGGACGCATGCAACGCCCAGGCTGCTTCGGGATCCCCAGGATTTAAACGGACTCTTTCCCCATCTTATCTTACTGGCATTGGACGCCTTTAGGAACAGGCGGAGTTAATTTCGCAGACTCCGAAGTTTCGGTATGTACACTACCCCGTTGAATTAGCTCAGAGCCCGGCGAAAGGCGGGGAACCTCTGAGGAAGGTCAGGTGGGTCGTTACTAGTCCAGGTGAGGCTCAGGAAGAGGCGGGGCCCCAAGAGCCAGGCTCCGGCCAGGCCAGAGGGAGGCTGGGAGGAGAGGGCGTTGGGGGGAGTGCAGGGCAGAGCCGCTGGCAATGGAAGGGGTCTGGTGACACCCGGGAGGGAACCGCAGACCAGGTCGTCAGGCCTTGCGATTCCGCCCAAGGATGTTTCTGCTTAGTGTCTGAAGAGAGACATCGCCGTCCATCGCCACCGAGCCCTCCCGATTTTCAGAGCACAGAGGTGCCGTCTCTAGAGCAGCTCTTGGTTGTCTAGGGCGCCCTCGGGCCCAGCGCCTGAAAGCCTGGGGGGTGGGGGGCTCCCCGGTCACTGCTCAGGCCCCGGTCGGTGGCCGCGTCCTAATGCCAGGGCTTTCCGACCCCGATGACGATGGGCACTGAAGAGTGAGACCCTGGGCAGCTCGTGAAGAGGTGGGACCCCCTTCCTGTGGGTGGAGGTTGATCTCTATTTTGTCTTAAAAATGACTCCACGGGGTGACCCCCTCCAACCTGTGCTGGAACCGGGGTCAGAGAAAGTGGCCTTTGAAGTTCCAGGCACAGCAGCCGGGCTCTGGCCAAGGGGCTGCTCAGGAGCCGCCGGCCCGCTGGGGGCCCCCGGAGGCCCCGGGTGGTATTTCTCCCCCCCCTCAGTCAGAGCGGTTGCTTGCTTCCTTTGTCGGGGGGCTAAGGAGCTTGGTCTTACACTTTCCCGATGTTCTCAGGGGGCTGGGAAAGGATTCACCACAGACAACGGATGCACCTGCTCTGTCCCCCAGGCGTGGTCCGAGGGCCCAGGGCGCTCCTGACACCTCCCCAGGGGCTCTGCGAGATCAAAACCAACTCTCAGGACGGTCCTGAGATGTTCGCTGTGATCCCGTTCTCTCACCAGCACATTAAATTCCCATAAGTTCAGTGTTCCAGGGCGGGGGGGCGGGGGGAGGCGGCAACACGCCCCGCGGGATCGGAACCGGCAGGACGCAGGGGCAGGTTTGAGAACTGGCTGTCCTTTGTGAAGCCAGACATTAAAGACTGTAAATCTGTAAAGCGACACCCGCCTTGCTCGCACAATGTCTGCTTTAGAAAATACAGCTGTTTTCATCAAGACATGTAATGGGCTTATGACTACTATTTAAAAAATTCTCAATTTCTTCATTCTCAGGAGGGTGGGGCGAGGGGGCGAGGCTGATTAGTGGGTCCACATGCTCATGCTCTCATTGGTTGCTTCTTGCATGTGCCCTGACCGGGGATCGAACCCACAGCTTCAGCTTATGAGGACGACACTTCAACCAACTGAGCTACTGGCCAGGGCGTATTATTGCTATTTGTAAAGGAGTTAATATATTTCTTTGTTGCAATTCCCAACACGGCGAATACTGCTCAGTAGACCCCACGTGAACACGAGCTCCTGGGAGCCCGCAAACGCTGTGAGAGCATAAAGGGGTCCCGAGGCCCAAGAGGCTGAGCGCCACTGCCATCGGGGAATGCAAACTTCCTTCGGCGCTGAGGCTGGGATTTTCAGCCGTGATCTGTCACCCGCCGGAGCCGAAGGCTCCTCCTCTGGGAGACCCGAGTCTGCGCTACTGGGTGGCCAACGGGAAGGTGACTGCCCCGGGCCCTCTGATGACTTCTAGGAATCATCTATTGCATGTAAAGCGGAGTCCCGGCAGGAAAGAGCAAAGTGGGGGCGGGGGGACAGTGCCAGGTGCCCTTGGGGCTCAGGCCAGGATGGCAGGGCCTGCCCCGCTGCCCCCTGGGAAAGGCAGCCACAGGTGAGGTTCGCCGTTCTGGCCCTGAGATGACCTCTTCCCTCTTCAGGTGTCGTCTTTTCCTCTGCTTCTCCCCGGCCCCGGGGGTCCTCGTCACTTCCCCCAACACCAGCCTCCCGCCCGGCCCCTCGGCGGTCAGTCCCCTCAGCCCAGAAGTCCGCTCACATCCGGCCCAATCGGCCGAGTGTCCCTATCCCCACGTTTGGAAGGAGGAACTGAGTTATTTGGCAATGCCAGGGCCACGTGGAGCAGACAAGTGAGGCAGTGAGGTGCCCAGGGGGTAGCGTTTCCAGAGCACCCACCCTTGGGTGCCCGCTGGCAGGTGCACACCCCCCAAGGAGCGACACCCCCTAACCCTACACCTGGGCACCTTGCTCCCCTTGAGTGGCCTGGCAAATCCTGCCCACAGAAGAACGTGAACTTGAGGGAAGGCCACGGCCGGGCTTCCCCGGCTCTCTGCAGTCTGAAGCAACTGTGGGGGGCGGGGGGGGGGGTGGTTCCGAACCGCCCGAGGATGGAGAACAGCCTGGGGCAGCCCAGCTCTCCGCCAGGCTTGCCAGTCAGCTCCAGGCTTTGCCAGCGGAGAGGCCTCAGGCAGGCCCTCGCCCTGCTCAGCAGGTGGGCAGGGGGGGGAATGAGGGAGGGGAGCCCCGAGCAGCCCTTGGCAAAGTCTAAATGCCCCTATGAAAGCAGAGAGGTTGCCCTGGATGGCGTAGCTCAGTGGATTGAGCGTGGGCTGCGAACTGAAGTGTCGCAGGTTCGATTCCCAGCCAGGGTACATTCCTGGGTTGCAGGCCATGACCCCCAGCAACCGCACATTGATGTTTCTCTCTCTCTCTCTCTATCTCCCTCCCTTCCCGCTCTAAAAATAAATAAATAAAAACTTAAAAAAAAAAGTGGAGAGGTCGCTCTCATGAACTCCTTCCTGTTAGAGGGACAACCCACCTGCTGGGTTGTTTCTCAAGCGTTTTGGACGACAGCCCACGGTAAAAGCTACAGACGTACACTTCACGCGGCAACTCGCGTCTCACACACGCGCACGGACGAGTAGCCGAAACCAAAGTTCCCAAAGACGACCCTTTCCCTTAGCGCATGTGGCACAGCCGACTACTCTGTTTCACAGAAGATGATGCCCTCGCAGAGTAGCCGCCACCCCCCACTGTCTGGTCCCGACCGGCTGTTCGGAAAACACGGAGATAAAGGACTGGACTGGAAGGACCACCCCCTGCCCCCCGACACTGAGGTTCTGCCCTGCAGCCTGTCGGAGCGCGGGGCTTTCCCCACCGGAGATGTCGCGGGAAGCCGTGCCCGCTGTCCGTACCGGGGACGGACTCGGGGGCTCGAGCGTCAGTCACTCGCGATGGCCACTGAGGGACAGCCTGAGCGTCTGCACCTCAGAGACCCCAGCCCGGTTCGGACCGCACCGCGGCCGCCCTCCGCCCCGGCGCGGCGGCGCTCACCTGCACATATGCCCACCAGGAGTCTGGACACGATGATCATCTCAAAAGACTTGGCCACTTCGCTGCACCCCATCAGGATGGCGGGCACAATGGAGAAGATGTTGTTCAGCAGCAGGGTCCCTTTCCTGCAGGACAGAAGGTCGGTTGGCTTGGTCTAAGGGTCCGCGCGTCCCCGTAACAGACGCTCGCCCCCGGTCTGCTCCGTGAGGGCAGCATGCAGGGTCCGGGGTCCGGGACACGGCACACGTCTGCTGCTGCGGGGGGGGGGGGGCGCGAGCTGACGGCCTGCAAACCCGGACTGGGTGGGGTCATTAGAAGAGAGTGTGGGCCGGCCTCGAGGATCAGCACAGATGCAAAAGTCCTCAATGAATCAGCGGCAGGTGGAATTCTGCAGCACGTATATAAAGATCTCTCAACGTTAAAATCACCCTATTAAAGATTACACTGCAGCCCTGGCTGGCGTAGCTCAGTGGACTGAGCTCGGGCTGCAAACCAAAGTGTCGTAGGTTCGATTCCCAGTCAGGGTACATGCCTGGGTTGCAGGCCACAGCCCCCAGCAACCACACATTGATGTTTCTCTCTCTCTCTCTCTCTCTCTCTATCTCCCTCCCTTCCCTCTCTAAAAATAAATAAATAAAATCTTAAAAAAAAAAAGAAAGAAATGTAGTTGATATGCTGAGAAAGAAGAAAAAAAAAGATTACACTGCGGAAAAATATAAGATTATCAATTGAGGCTACAAAAGAAGTCAATAAAATTTGATCTCCATCCTGATTTTTTTTAAAAGAAAAACAAGCTTAACAAACTATAAATAGAACTTACGGAAGTTGATGAAGGTGACACCCCCTAAACCCTGAGATAACCCCAAAGCAGCGCCAGGCAGAACCTTTCTTTCAGGGGTTTTGATAAACTGAGTTAAAAATTGACACAGAAGTGTAAACGACCATGAATAAGATAAATGTGAAACAGCTGACTTTTCACATGGAAAACAATGAGCTTTTTCTCATCTCCCACCGTGCACAAACTAAAATTCCAGATCTGTCTGGGAAAAGCAAAATCGTTAAACTATTTCTTAAATTACAGACACTGTGCTCGTGACTCCAGGCAGGAAAGACTGTCTGATGGCACGAAAAGCAAAAACTATAAATTACAGTTGAAACTGACCCCTGGAACAATGCAAATTTGACATAAAAAAGATACCAGTATACGTATGATTAAAAAATAGGCAAAGACTGAGATGTTTGCCCGCTGCCCCCCCACCCCCCAGGACAGGACAGCGGGGTGCTGACTTGCATGCACTCCCTGAGGTGGGATTCCCCACCCCCCTCCCCGCTGTGTGGCCTCTTTGTCTCGTTACAGTGTCTCTTGATCGAAGCTTTGGGGCCTCATTTCCTGTTGGGGCTTTTGTGAGGGTCAGGGCCCATCAACACAGGTTAGCTGCTGCTGCTGCTGCTGCTGCTGCTGCTAGAGTTGTATTTCGTCCGTGTCGCTTTACCAGAACCAAAGTCTCTCCTCTTTGTCCGTCTTTGGAAGAGTCACACACCAGATGACAGGGCCGGGAGGCATGTCCCAGCGCAGGCCACCACAGCAGGGTGTCCTTGAACTCTGCCTCCTAAACCAACACAGACTAACTCCTTGGTTCTTTCACCTTGAGACTAAGTCACATGCAGAACTTGGTCCGGGTTAAATTCCTGTGGACGTTCCAACATGGCTGGGATCACCAGGCACCGCCCTGTGACACCCTGGGGTGCCAGGGGCACTCTCACTGTGAGCTCAGTGAACATCAAGGGCAGAGCTTGTATCCGTGCCCCTCATTCTAGAAGCACTGGACATTCTCCATTCGATTCCAGAAAATGTCCTTACGTCATCCCACTCCCCCGTGTCAATTCTGTGGGCGTGAGAGACCAGGCTTGTTAGAAACAGCATTCAGGAGCCCCTCTCCTTGCCCTGACTGATGTGGCTCCGTGGGTTGGACGTTGTCCCGCAAAGCGAAAGGTTGCCGGTTCGATTCCCTGTCCGGGCACTTGCCTGGGTTAAGGGGCCAGGTCCCTGGTTGGGGGTGTGCGAGAGGCAACCGATTGGTGTTTCTCACATTGACAATTCTCTCTTTCTCCCTTCCTTCACCTCCCTCTAAAATAAAGAAATAAATAATCTTTAAAAAAATAGAGCTCCTCCCTTCAACCTGTCTGAGACTGGGAACACATAACTTCTGGTCTGGGGTCCAGGCTCCCAAGGTCCTCCTGAGAAGTCGGTATGGGGGGAGGGGGCCAGGCCGGCCCCAGCCAGACCCGCAGGACCCTTCCCCTTGAGTGAAGAGCTTGCGGCTCGGCCCACAAGTGGAGCGAGCAGTTTCTTGTTCAGCTGTCTGCTTGGGAATGTGATCAATGTGATTTAATCGTTTATGGTTAACGATTTGTAAGTGATTTGTAAGGGCCGGATCTTTGAAGCGCTCTGGTCTTCCCGTGTCCACCCCAGGGCCTGGGACCTGCCACCTACACTTCTAGCCCAAAAGCCTAGCCTAGGTCCCCGAACCCTTGGTCAGCTTCTGGTCTTAGGACCGCATTGGAACACAATTCATGTCGGCGGTATCGCCTAGGGTTATGATAAGGATTTCTGCTGCCGGCCTCTGTTTAAACTCTGACGGGGTCTAGATGGGGATTAGAATTTGCGGGGTCGAACCTTCACGTTCCCTTACCTGCCGAGTTTGTTCACCAAGGGGCCGACCATGAGGGACCCGATCAGGCCTCCAAACGGGAACATGGACACAGAGATGGACCACAGGAGGGTCAAGGAAAAGTCGCTCAGGTACTCACTGCTTCTGTCATAGTAGGTCTCGTTATAAAATTCTTTCATGAGCTGGAGAACAGAGCAAAAGAGAACACCCAAATGACGCAACCTGGTTTCGAAGAAAGAGCCGCGTGCATTGTTGTCGGGCCCGCCCTGGGACACTCACATCGAGTGGAAGAACGTGGTAGTGGCGGCTGTTAGCCACCAGGGGGCGCCCCAGGGAGGGTCATGAAGCCTCTGGTAGGCACCCTGCCAGGACGTGCAGAACACCAGAGGGGACTGACTCCCATCTTCCCATCTGTGGGGCGACCCCTGCCCCCTGGGTTCCTCCATACATTGCAAGATGGTAGCAGATTGGGGCCCGCCCTCTGTGTGTCTGGCCAGGACCTGGTCCATCCCCTGGGGTCCGTTCTGTGTCTCGTGGGTGTTCCCGTCCCTTCGCTCGAGCACCCGTGGTGTGCCCTCCATGTGCGCCCTCCCACCCTGGCGGCCGCCCGCTGGGGCCCCGGCTGCTCCAAACCCACCTCCCTGTTTCCTGGGGACCGAGCCTCACTCGCCACAGCGACCTACCTCCGCAGGGGAGTTGATGGCGGCCACATTGTACCCGTACTGGAAGGACGACCCGAAGGCAGCGATCAGCGTGGCCAGGGCAAGCACGAGCGTCAGCCGCTGCTCGGGGAGAGACACGGCTTAGTCGGGAGGCAGAGGGCCCCGCTCACGGCACTGTCCCGTGGAAGATGGCGTGGAACCTGAAGACCTTCGTGGGCTCCCTGTCTCGCAACCTGCCCTCTACCCAAACCGCCCCCCGCCCCCCGCCGGGCTGAGGACAGGCTTTCTCAAGGGCAGCGCTGGGAAGGACAGTTCTGTCACGGAGGCGGGGGCTGTCCTGTAAGCATTCCAGGAACACCCCTCCCCCAACCATGACAACCCAAACGTCTCCAGACGTTGCTAAATGTCCCCCAACTTCCCAGGAAGGAAGGGTCCCCCAGTGCTGAGAACCGCTGGGCCAGAAAGACACGGGGCAACCTGCTCTAACACCCCATCTAGCGTCTGCATTGCTCCGGCTGGGTTTGCTTGCCGACTGCGGTGAATGCTCGCGAGCACCCCCCCGAAACACCCCTCAAAACCCCCTCAAACACCCCTCAAAATCGAAGAGGGAGAACTCAAGCCATTTGAATGATTTCAGGCCACTGATGACCTCCTTAGCCTCGGACTCGCACTGTAACTAACAGGCAGAAGGCACCGTGAGGAACGGTCTAAGTATAGATTCCTGGGGACCCTCGACTGCACACATTCTGTGACAATATTCCTCCCCTTCCTCCGGCACATCAGGAAAATGAGCATTCGCTTAAGACAATCCCCCTGACAAGCGCGAGAAAAATAAAAGGGGAAATAGTTTTGCTTTTAGAATCTACAGGTCTCATTTTGAATTTGCCCACTGCCATCTTCTAGCTTAATTTCTACGATCTTCAGTTTCCTCCTCTTTCAAATGGGGGGCCCTGGCTGGTGTGGCTCAGTGGACTGAGTGCCGGCCTGAGAACCAAAAGGTCCCGAGTTCAATTCCTAGTCAGGGCACATGCCTGGATTACAGGCCAGGTCACCAGTTGGGGGCGTGCAAGAGGCAACCAATCGATGACACGCAACCTATCCATGTATCTCCTGCACACTGATGTTTCTCTCCCTCTCTTTCTCCCCCCCTTTCCCTCTCTCTAAACATAAATAAATTAAATACTTAAGATGGGGGTGGTAACAACCCCCAGAGTTATTGCAAGGACGAATTATAGAAGCCTCCAGCTGTAGCGAGAACCCGCTGACCGGGCTGGGCCTGGACCCGAGGGTCGGAGCCTGCCATTCCAGCACCTTCATTCATGGACACCCTGCCACGTGGGGCACGTGCCCCTCTGGGGGCACGCTGGGGTGCTCCCGTCTTCCTGTGGGCAGTGTCCCGTGCAATCTAAAGAGGACCGCTTGAGAGAGGCCAGGAGTGGGACCGGCAGAGGGACGGGTCACTCCTGCCTTGTCATGATGCCCTGAGAGTACCAACGAGTTCGTGGGCCTCTGCAGGGCAGGGCAGGGCTGCGTGGGGAGGCCCTGGCTCTCCTCCGCCGCTGGCTGGTTTGCAGTCGGCTAACCCAGCAGGAAGCTTCCAGAGAGAAAGACAAAGCGGGGGGCTTGGGTGTCCAGTCCTCAGTCCCCACCACCCTCTGGGACCAGCGTGGGGAGAGGGTGAAAGAGTGGCGGTGGCAGGCAGGTGACAGTGCCCGGGAGGGAAGGTGGGGCCCAGGGCGGTCACCACACCGCTCCCAGTTGTCTGAAAGCAGGAGGCACTTCCACGCTCCTGCACACACCCACACACACCCCACCCGAGGTGTAGGGCGGGTGGGGCGTTCCTCCCTCACGTGGGTGGTTGAACTCTCTAAGGCCCGTAACAGGAAGTGTTGACAAGGGTGCGGACTAGATCGGAACCCTCAGGCATTTCTGGTAGCAGGAGAGTGAGATGAGGCAGCCCCTTTGGGAAGGCCTGGCAGGTCCTCCCCAGACTGAACCTAGTGCAAACACATGACTCAGCAGTTGGCTCCTGGGCACACGCCCAGGAGAAACGAAAACACGTTCACACACGTCTGAACACGCATGTCACAGCAGCAGTATTCATAGGAACCCGAAGTGGGGACAACCCACACGGCCAGGAACCGACGAATGGAAGAACTAACGCGGCCTGTCCACCCCAGGGAACACTGTCTGGCCGAGAAAAGGGGTGCAGCGCTGACACACGCTGCAAAGCGGACGAGCGTTGAGGACCCGGTGGGGGGACAGAGGCCGGTCGTGGACGGCCTCCTGCTGTCGGATCCGTCTGTGCGAACTGCTCGGGGCAGGCGAACCAGACACAGAAGGCCTGGCGGTGGTTGCCTAAGGCGGGGGAGAAGAGGAGGGGCGGGGGGAAGTGGGAAGCGACTAAAAGCGAGGGCAGATGGTTGAGGGGTGATAAACATGGTCTAGACGTGATTGCGGTGGCGATTGCGCCATTCTGTGAGTATACGCTGAATCGCATACTTGAAACGGTGAATTTTATGTTCTAGTCTTCGGTAAAGGTGCTGCATACAAAAAGGCATGTAAAAGAAAGCCAGGGTTAAGCTTTCTTTTTTCGTTTCTCGTTTTTTTCTTTCCCTTCTTACGCTGTTGGGATTTGGGAGAAAGCAGGAGCCACAACCCTCAGGCCCCGGGTAAAGCGGCCCCCTGTCTTCCCAACACTGAGGGCACTGAGACCCTGGGGAAGCAGCCATCCTCCGGGCGGCACCCCACCCCCCTTCCACCACCATGGAGACTCTCTCAGTTCAGGGCTCCTCCTCCTCGTCAGGAATTCCCAGGCAGAGCGCAGAGATCCCTCCCTGGAGGAGTGAGTGTTATCTGCACTTTGTCACTTTATCCCGCTGGGGGACCCCACGCTTTACACACAGACGTTGCCGTCTCAGTGCAGAGCGGGGAGAGGAGAGAGACATCCCATCTCGGGGCTGGAGGGGCTCTGTCTTGTCGCTGCGGGTGGGGGTGGGGGCCGGCTGGCTGAGGCCCGAGAACACGGGATCCAGTCCTGGCTCTCCTGCTGCCGCCTGGGTGGCCTTGGGCCAGTCGCTGAACTTCTCTATGTCTTGGTTCCTCCACCTGGAAAGTGGGGACGCCGACACTCCCTTCCTCACGGGACTGATGTGAAGAAGACACGAGTCCATGCCCTGGCTGGCGTGGCTCAGTTGGCTGGAGCGTCATCCCGTACACCAAAAGGTCTCGGATTCCATTCCCAGTCAGAGCACCCGCCTAGGTTGCAGGTTCGATCCCCCGCTGGGGCACGTGTGGGAGGCAAACAATGGATGTTTCTCTCTCACATCTGTGTTTCTCCCCCCCCACACCCCTCACTCTCTTCTCCTCTCTCTCTAAAATCAATAAGCATGTCTTCAGGTGAGGATTTTAAAAAAAGAAGAAGAAGAAATGAGTTCCTATACAGGGGTGGGCAAAAGTAGGTTTACAGTCGTTCATATGGAGAAAGGCACGCAGGTCATGACCATTACCGCTGATTTATTTGATCAAAAGGATGTCACAGTGGCGCTGTGCCCTTAGGCACGGGCTCACACGTGCCCAGGTCACTGGCCTTCCTTGTTTACACACTCTTTGGTCCATTCACTATACTCAAGCACACTTTGGCACAGAGCTCTTTATTGTCACCAATAAACCCACGGCTGCCACCCCTGTGTTTAAAACTTGGAGAGCCACATCCGGCCTGGGGTCAGTCACCCACGGGTCTGCAGTGAGGACGCAGAGGCAAAGGCACTTGCTCGATGACACTGAACTAGTGGGTAGCAGGGGCACACCACAAAAAAAAAAAAAACCCCAAAAACCATGCACTTTCATTTCCAAAGCGTTTTGACATTTGTATTCCAATCCCTTTAAGAGTCTCTTTCCTGGAGGAAAGGCCTGGGTGTGTACTAGACAGATGCTTTTCTCTTTACACATGAGGGACCCACAGGCCACTGAGGCAGGGGTCACACAGTCCCCAGGGGGCAGAGAGCGGGCCCAGCCCCCGGCCAGAGCAACCCCCCTGGCAGCCCAGCCCTGCCCCCTGCAGCCTTCGCCAGCCCTTCCTCTTCTCCTGGGCTCCCAGATCTCCCCCGGACTTCGCTTAATGATTCGAAGACTCTCACAGTCAGTCACCAGTGGGGCAGTTTTGTTCCACGTCTCCCAGGAAGCCAAGGGGCAGGCCTGCCCGCAGGACACCCCAGGGGAAACCTGCGTTGGGCTGGGCGCTGCAGGCTCCCTCCCCTGGAGAATCCAGGGGGCAGGTAGCTGTGGTCGGCCCCTGCCTTTTGCATGTGCCCGTTTTAACCCTTTCTTTTAAAAACGGACTGATCATTTGCAGATACCACCATGTGGGGGCATTTCCATTTTTCTGCAGTCACCAGGGGCACAGCTGGGGGGGACATTGCTGTTTGAAGAGGGGGCACTGACCAGATCAGGGCCTCCCCAGACTGAACCCCCACAAAGCCCCTAAATGCATGTTACCCCCCAGCCCCTTTTCTATAAAACAGAGGGGCTGACGCTGGACTTGACCAACACTGCCTCAGTAGCTGGGAAAATCAAAGGCGATGGTCCAGGTGGAGTGCTCAGTCGCCCTGAAGCAGTGAAGAGCGCCACCGGCGGCCAGGGAGGGGCGGCCGGGGAGGTGGACAAACACTGGGCAGCACACGGGCCAGCCCCACAGCAAAGGGTTACCCGGCCCAAACACCGACAGTGCCGGCTCCGAAGGATGCTCAGAAAGTAAGACCACTGACGGGGGACTCACCACCTGGCACGTAATTGACATGCATGATCTCATTTAACTGTTCCGGCAGCCCCATGAAACGGCTTGGTTTTTAGACCCATTTTATAGGTGAGAAAGCTAAGGCGGCAGAACCATTAATACCTTGCCCAAGTTCCCACATTCAGAACAGGATGGAGCAGGCATGAATTCCAGGTACCTCTACCTCCCAAACCTGCTCCTAATCTATGAGCTACAGCGCATGTTCCGAAGGTGCCTGTGGCACGGGCCTCAGGCCCATGACTGAATAAAGAATGCTTTGCACAGATGTGTGCCCCTCCTCCCATAAACACGAACGGACGCTGTTGTGACGAGTAAGATACAAACTGCTGAAAAGTGCTAATGATTCCTATTATCTTTCCGTCTTTATGCACTTTCCTCAATCCAGGGACTCTAAAGGTGTATCAGCAGGTCCAGAAACATCTTTTGTCTCCAAAAAGAGCGAATCTTATCATCTAGGAGGTGGGGAATCTCTGCTACAGATGTGAATCACATTCAGATCTTGCAACATCTTTTCTGAGTCTAACTACATTCTTGCTGGCTGAGCTATGTTACTCACTAAAAAGTTTGGTTTAAAAAGTCTGAAGCCAACGTCGAAACAAAGGGAGAAAAAACCCCACCTCACGGGTCGGGTCTAAGGATTCTGCTGCTGGCTTTGGAAGCCCTGCACCCCGAGTCCTTTCGGTGAAGGAAGTGGGGACGAGGGACCCCTCGAGTCCCTTCAGTTTGACTACGGGCCCTGGTCAGGGCTGTCCCGGCAGAACGGTTCCCAAAGAAGCTCTCGGGGCAAATGTGTGGAAGTGTCTGCGTTCTCCAGTCCCCGCCGGAGCCCAGCTGCGGGGCCAGCGGCGAGGGGCAGGCCACCCGAAACGGGAGCTCAGGGGAAGTCCCCCTAGCAATGCTGCGCAGGCCCGGAGTGGGCTGCTCCCCGCCCCTCCCCGGGGCCCCACTCACCCCTTCCTTCTTGATCTCAGGCTCTTGCTCCATCCTTGAGCTGGAGAAACGTGCCGCTGGCTTCCTCCCCGCCAAAATAACGAACGCACTGAACGGAGACAGAAGATATCCGGCCTGCACTTTGGCCCCGCCGAGCAGCGGCCAATAGCGCTTTTATAGCCAGTCTAAGGCGGAATAACCCTTTCGGTCACCCGGAGATCTGTCATCCTGTCACTTCTTCTAAATTGTCCAGGGTTCGGCTCCGCAGGCGGCCCCTCCCCGAGCCCCCGCGCAGACCGCAGGCCCAGGGCCTTCCTGACCCGCCACAGCCCGAGCTATTTCCTCACTGCAGACGCCTCCGCTGTCAGCCCCCTGCTGGCTGATGGGAGGGGTTATTTCTGTCACCAACACGTGGAAAGCAACAGCTGCCACACAGGGGTGGGTGATATGGGGGCAAGAGAAGGTCGCTAGGAAGGCGCCCCTGTAGGAAGCCTGCAGCCAAGTCTCTCTACGGGACACTCAGCGTTTGCCCAAATGACCACACAGCACGTTCTCGGCGAGATTCTTATTTTTCCTTCTTGAGGAGCTCACAGTGGCCTAGAGGGGGCATTTTCTGTGTAGTCATCGCTATTGAAAGAACAGCAGATATGTCCAATTTCTTTATATGTTGGGCAAGGAGAGTGAGTCACAGCTGCCAGCCTGCGTGCGCTACGCATGGCTGGGCCACCGCCAGCCCCCGCGCCGGGCGTGTGTTCGGCTGCATGGGACGTGCTAGGTCAAACGTCCCAAGTCCAGAGCAAAGTCCCCCAAGGCCTGCAGACTTTCATCTTTATGGGACATACTCCCTGTTTTATTTGTTGAGACACCAATCCAGCTAATTTAGCCATTCCTTCCCCTCCTTCCCCTTGAAATGAACAGTTACCGTATTTTGCTGTGTATAACGCACTTTTTTTTTGCCCACAGTTCTGAGGGGAAAACTAGGGTGCACGTTATACATGGGTTATGATGGTAATGATTACATACCATCAGTATAACGATGGGTCTAATAAGCCTGTGTATAATGTGCACAGAAAATCTTGGGTGCGAGTTAAATACGACAGAATATGGGACCTGGGAGTCAGGCACTGTTCCTGGCCTCGGCAGCAAAGTTGAAAACTGTGGGCAGGCTCCACTGCACGGGGCACTGTGAAGAGGGTGACAGTGTCATAGCCCGTGTGTGGTGGGGGGCGGTGGGGTGGGGATCCCTATGTCCCTATTCAAAAGGGAGGACCCACCAGCCATAAAACAATGCTTTCCAGCTTAAGTTTGGGAAGGCCAGTGGTGTCCCATTATTTCAAAGAGCTATGAAAAATTCTCCAAAGAAAATGCACTTTAGTTGGGAGGAGGGGGTATCCGCTACTGGGGAGGGAAGAGAAGGGTATACAGGTGATGCAAACAAAAACAAATGTCCCAAGTTTGCAAACGTCAGGCCGGGAGGACATCAGAAGACCCAGTTCTTGGCCCGGATCTTCCACTCCCTTCCCCGCGCAGCTTTGGGCCAGCGGGGACCCAGTCACCGAGGGGTGATGGCGGACGCCGACACTTCCCACCCCTGCCTCGACCTCCCCAGCTGGAGACCAATCCCACAGGGGACTGTGGGGAGGCAGGGGCCGCAGTACCTGGCTTCTGCCGGTCAGCGCAGGCTTGGCTGTGTCGTCACCAACGCCTCAGGGGTGGCGGGGAAGCCGCGCGAGGCGGCGCGGAGGGCACCGCGTAGGAGGCGGGGCCCCGGCGAAGGCCGATGGACCGCGGCCATGCTGGGCGGGGTACGAGTGCCACTCGTCCTCTCCTGGCCTGTCCGTGGGCTCCTTCTGGCCCCAGGGCTGGACCCCGGGGCCTCCACTTTCACCCCAGGGTGCCATTAGGCCTGGCCATTAGGTCTGTAGGCCCCGGGAGCACCCGGGGGCTCCAGAGAGGCCTGGCATTGTTGTGAATGGGCCCAGAGGCTCGGGGACTGTCCCTAGGAGGTCCCCTGTGTCCCCTGCCAGGTCCTTCCCAGCCCCTGACCGCACACAGCAGCCTCTGGTACTCCAGCAGCCATCAGGAATGCCAGGCGGTTCTTTCGCTTAAGCTCCCTGGGGGGCGGGGCCGGGGGCGGGGCCCGCTGCTCGGAGGCGGGGACTGCCCCTACCTGGACTTTCAGGCTGCTGCCTCGGGCTGGTGGTCTGCGGTGTGTGGGCCAGGCTCGCCCCCTGCACGTGGTCTTTTTCGTTTTCCGAACTTGCACGTTTATTACCCGCCGGCGCTGAACACTGAGTCCCACCTCCTGGGCCTCGCCCTCCGCGCCGGAGCTGAACATTGGGTCCCGCCTGCCCGGCCTCGCCCTCCCCACCCAGCCCTGTCTCCATCCAGTCTGGGCTGGAAGGGAACGTGCCAACAGAAGGCTATTTTTGCCTTGGGGCCTGGAATGACGGTGATAAACGGCAGTGATTAGCCAGGGACTGTTTGTCTCATTGCAGATAGCAGGCCGAGGCGTGTCCCAGGGCCGCGAATCAAAATTTCCGAGAAGCGGATTTGTGTGTTGAAGCTGCCTGGGAATAAGCGCCTTTGGAGTCCGGGGGAAGTGGGCAGGTGCAGGCTCGCGCCCCGTGCAGGCGGGCCGTCCTGCCCAACCCACTTGGACCCACTGCAGGGAAGCCGCATCGCATTCGGTCCTGCGGGGAGGAAAGGGCCCAGGGTCCGGGGCCCGCGGCCCTCTCCCTCCGGGCGCCAGGAGTGAGACCCTCGAACCTGTCGCGGTGGAGCCAGAACCCGCGCTCACCAGGGATTCCCACACGAGGATTTGGGTCCCAGCCCTCCATTCCCAGGACGTTTTTACTGTGTATTACTAGTAATGGTTGTGTTACAAAACGTAAACATGCAGGCCACGCAGCGTGAGAGGACTTGTCGGAGACTGAAAACAGTGCTTATTCTGGCATGCGAGATGGCGGAGGACTTGAATCCTCGCCTGGGTTTACATTGAGACTTACTGAGCCCCCTGCTGGACTGGAGGGGGCAGGGCAGGTGCAAAAAAAAGTCAAAGCAGCCTTGGCCTCATGCAACTTAGACTCTAATTGAGGAAACAGGATCTGGTCCAAGAAACACTTCGATGCATGTATAGCCATAAAAGGGCTCTGAAGACCGGGATCTGGGGAGCGGGGTGCTCGTCAGGGAAGGCTTCTTCAAAACAAGCAGCTTGAGCTGAGATGGGAAGGGAGGATGAAAAGAGCCAACCCAGGCACAGGGTGGGGGGGATGGGGTGGTGGAGAGAGAGCCTCCCCGGCGGGAGGCCAAGGCCCTGTGGTTGAAGAGGGTGTGATGCCATCAAAAAACTGTAACATCTCGCCCTGGCTGGCGTGGCTCAGTGCACCGAGTGCCGGACTGCGAAGCAAAGGGTCGCCAGTTCAATTCCCAGTCAGGGCACATGCCTGGGTTTCGGGCCAGGTCCCCAGTTGGGGGCGCCCAAGAGGCAACCACACATTGATGTTTCTCTACCTCTCTTTCTCCTTCCCCTCCCCCCTCTCTAAAAAATAAATAAATAAAATCTTTAAAAAGAAAGACATGGTAACGTCAGTGGGGCTCGGGAGCACAGGAGAGAAGAGGAGAGAGAGGAGTGGAGGGGGGAGGCGGCTGGCGCGCTGGACAGGCCGCACTGCATTCAGCCCTTGTAGGCCGTGGTAAGGAACTTGGTTTTTGTTCCAGGAGCAGACAGAAGGCACCGAGAGTTTGGGAGGGCAGTCAGAGCCGTGTTTTTAAAGGGGACCGGCGGGGTTGGGGAAGAGGGCGGGGAGCGGTCGTGCGTTGCCGAGGAAGAGGTGGGAGAGGAAGGTGAGGTGGGCGAGCAGGCCGCCCGAGGTGAGAGGGTGCCGCTGAGACGCAGGCTGCAAAGTCAGTGACACTCGGTGATTGACAAGAGGGAGGGGAGGGGAGACGAGAGCATTTCTGTACTACTGCTGGAATAAAACAAAAAATAAAAATGGTGTTTTTGAAAATGAAACTTTTTGGAATTAAAAAAAAACTTTATATAAGAAAATTTGACCAGAAGGTAAAATGTTGAGTTAGCACCTGGCAAATCCTTGGTGGTTCTGAGAGCAGGCCATGGTACCAGAACTTCTGGGCACGGGGTGGTCTCACCTCCACTTGGGAATGTTCTGGAATTTTAAAGTTTTGCCCCGGGCTTCTTCTGTAGGCTGCTGTGGCAGCCCACCCGCACATCCATGCGCTCCGTCCCTCTTCAATAGTAATGGGCTGTGGCAGAGCCTGTAGCTGCCCCAAATAAAGACTGTGTTTCCCCATTGCCCTTGAACTTGGATGGACAAATCACGTAATTCCGTCTAACGCAACATCTGCAAAGGCGTCATGTGGTGGCTTCCGGGAACCTTGTTCTCTCCACTGTCTCTTTCTCCATCCTGCTGCCGGAAACGAGGGTGCCCCCAGTGGGGACCGTGAGGTTGAGGCCACCCGAGACAGAGCAATGAGATGGGAGGAGCCTGGGTGGAGCCTGGGTGGAGCCTGGGTGGAGCCTCAGTGGAGCCTCAGTGGACCAAGTGCTGTCCCAGCCTCGGACACTGCCTGAACTTAACATGAAGGGCACACTCTCCCATTTTGTTTTCTGTCACATGCAGCTGAGCCTAATTGTCACTGACAGACCCCTCAAACATTTGCCTGAAAGTCTGTTAGGACAGAAAACCGAAAGGGACTCTAACCTCTGATGAAGAAGCTGTGAAGACATTTTCGTTGACCGAGCCTACGTCGGGTTTTAAAGTTTGATGCCACGGCTCTCCCTTCAGGAAGTGAACAGCCTGAGGACCCTCATCTTAAAGGAGAAAGCATGAACCCCTGAGCTGGCGGAGGGGTCGCAAATGTCAGGGGAGACTTACCCAGGCTGCTGTTTTCATTCAGTTGCACTTGTTTCCATTTGCATGCTGATTAAAACGTTGCACGGGATCCGAGTGGCCTGGCCCCAACCCTGTTTCTTCCCCCTGTTCCCTGCTGTGTGTACGGGCCACATGGTGGAATGTGGGGTTCTTCAGGAATGATGCGTGGGTCACCGGCCAGCAGTGATCATGGAACACTGCGGATGGCTCGTCAAAACTCAAGAAAAAACAGGCACAGAGACAGACCAGTTTCTGTGGAGAAGTAGGGACGGAACGGCCACCCCCTCTAGTGGGGAGCGCGCTGATTTACTGTCCAAACTGGCTTTTATTGGGTTCGTTTTGCATAAGAATTCATGTAAAGCACATTACTCATTGTGGGGAAGTAAGGATCAAATGATAGGTAACAAGGAACTCTGAGGGTCTATTTTGAGTCAGGGTCAAAGAGCTGTAAGACTTTAAGGAACAAACTAACTTCCTCCTTGGACCCTTCTCATTCAGCTGAGAGCATTCTAAACAAAGAAGGTTTCACAGGAATTTACATGTTCTTTTTTATCACCGGGGAATCCGCTCTTTCCAGCACAGGGCGGCACCACCCTGTCATTGTTTCAGGCTTAGGTGGAGCAAGGGAAGTAAGGCAGCCAAGAGATTAAGAGATTTTCTTGAAGAGCAGGAGGACTCGGGCTTTGTCAAACCCAAAGGGCGAGAGTCCATCACCCCCTTTTGCCATAGCCCCCAAAGTCCTTCTTTTGGGGGCCTCCCACGTGATCGTGCCTGTCTTAGATTGTTCCCCCTTGGGGAATCTTACCTGTCATTGGCTAACTGACCAAGCATTGGGGTCCAGGTCCACTGCAGAAGTGGCAATCCTGTCAGGGAGATAAGCTTGTCTCCTGTAACCGTAAGCCGCTGGCTTACGGTTCCAAGGGCGTTCCCTTAGCCTTAGCCTAGGCGAGGGTTATAGCTTCTGATACCAGGCAGGGCGGTTCCCAACACAGGAACATAGGCGTCCCATTGGACAGAAGTGCCTGTGTGGCTCAGAGGGCACAGAGTGCGGCCACCAGCAGGGGGCAGTGTGTCTGCAGGTTGCGAGATTGGACCGCGGTTAGAACGGAGCTCTGGGCCATCCCTATTCCAGGTGTAGGTAAGTATGGAGTATTTAACAGGTTCAGCATGGATCCAACTACAGCCCTCCTCGTGTTGTGGGGTGAGCAAGGGGTCATCTGGCCAGTTGACACAAGACGTCCCAAGCCTGAGCTTTGTGTGCAGAGGGGCCAACCACACCCCACCCATGCCAGTCACCAAACTATCAGAACCCAGCCGTGCCACGTGGAAGGAGGCGGAGGGAGAGAAGATGCCCCATCCAAGTCAACTTTCTTGCTCCATAGGCCAATGCTGAGCTCTGCCCCCTGGAATCAAGCCCAGTATGCTATCAGATGCCCCCAAGGCAGGGAGGCTGCCGGGCATGCTCTGACACGCCTGGTGAGTAAACTTCAGAAACATTACAAGGTTCCTCTGTTGCCTTACGGAGAACAGAATTTGACCTCATCTATCAGAAGTCACCTGCACAAAAGGGCGTGTCCCTCGGCGGAGAACGTGAGAGCCAGGGGTGCACGAGGCTCCTCAGGGACTCTAGTGGATTCTGTTGGTTACACATTAATCAGGGTGGACAGCTTTTTTTTAAGCTGTGATTAAAAAAAAACCCACACAACAAAATTTACATTTAAGTCAGTAGTGTTATGTATATTCACGTTGTGGTGCAACCGATCTCCAGAACTTTCTCATCATGCGAAACTAAGGCTCTGTACCCCCATTAAATGGCAACCCCCCCTTTCTCCTCCCCTGCTCTGGCAACCTCTGCTGTGCTTTTTTGCTCCTATGACTTTGGCTCATCTGGGGACCTTATAGAAGTGGGATCACGCAGGATTGTCTTCTGAGGACTGCCTTCTTTCACTCAGCACAGTGCCCCAAGGTCCCTCTGAAATGGGCCACACGGAATTCTGTGTTTCACTTTTTGGGACTGTTTTTCACAGCAGCGGTAGCATCCTACGTCCCCACGGGAAGGGCTCCTCAGGTCTGTACCCAGCCGGGGCAGACTCATCCCCTGGCCTTACACCCCCAGGGCTCATCTGGGTGCTGGTGGGCTAGCCTCAGACAGCCCTCAGCTCCTGCCCTCCTTGACTCTGCCATCTGCTTTTCCTCGGGCGTGGGCCCAGGCAAATCCAGGGGTTCGCTGTCAGCCAGCCGGGAGAAGAAAAGCTACGAAACGGTCACAGGATGGGAGGGTCTGCCCTGCCTCTGACGTCATTGCCGTGAGAAATTTCTCACATGCTTGCTGAACAAGAATTAAGATTCCTCCCTCCCCGGGGCCACTGTGGACTGAGTGCTAGGGCGGGGCTGGGACCCTGGAAACAGGGGGGTGGGGCCAGCGCTGAGGGGTGGGACTGGGAGCAGAACCTTCAGGTCACTTAGATAATACAGGAAAGGCTAACTGATAGTAGTGACCGCTGGGCTTTATAGATTAGAGCCCACAGTCTTGCCAAGCACCTGGGGTTATCTCAGTCTCATTAACCCCCTTTTAGATGAAACAGAGGCTAAGAGAGGTCACAACGCTTTGCCCCGAGTAATACAGTTATAAGCGACAGAGCCAGGCAGATCTGTTTTCTCTCCTTCCAGAGCCTCTTTGTTCACAGGCTGGTTGTTGGGCTCGCCTGTTCCTCCTGGTGGCTGTCCAGGGGCCGCAGCTGGGGCTTGTCTGCCATCCCGGGTGTGAGCAGACATGGCTGCCTCCATCAGCATCACTCTACTGCTCCCAGGAGACTCTGGCCCAGAGAGATATGTTAAAAATAACTATTACTCACTCCAAGAACCTCCCAAGAACACTTGAAAACCTAGCTTAATTTTAGACTGTAGTAAAGAATAAAAAAAGCATTTGTTTGAGCAGAAAGAGATGCAGCCCAGGAGACAAAGACTCAGGTAGCAACTTAAACTGTGTTCCATGGAGACAGAGGGGAGGCCATCTTTGATCAAGTTCCCACCCAATGGTATGCAAATGAGGACTGCAAATTATGCCATTCTGATTGGTCAGTGTAGATGCAAATGAGGGTATAATATGCAGAGCTCTGATTGGATGGGGCAGGTCTCAGTCTACTAGTCAGCAGATACCCATGTATGGTGCATAATCTGAGCTTTAGTCTGGGGGTCTCTCACCGCTCCTGACACGGCCAGGTACTCCGTACACCCCAGTACGTGAGGAGACCCTGTCGGCAAGTGGCCACAAGAATCCTTATTTATAAAATCTGTGCCTTCTGTTGACCATGGGGGTGGTCCACCTCAGAAGAAAAATTCCTTCTTGGGTTTACATCAAATGAAGCTTCTTGGGATTCATACATTGGACAGCTCTTTACTAGAAAGCATCCAGGGACGTTTTATACCCCACGCTCTTTGTTAAAAAGACATTCAACGGAGTGCATGTGAAGCTCTAACTGGCTCCATTAAGCGATCCGTGAATCGGGCAGCACCCACCGAACAACCAGAAGGGTGCCCGGAGCTGTGCAGATGGAGACGTTTGTATGGGAAGGAGGGTGGGGCAAGGGAGCTGGTGACGACAGGCTGTGTGGGGACTCGACGTCTCTTCTTTGGGGGAAGAGAGAGCACAGGGTTGTTTTGCAGGTCACCTCATCTTTCTGCGGGGGATGGAGAGGGCCCCCTGGACAAAGGGCCTCACTCCCTCTCGACCAGATAATCCCAGACTGGTTGGTTACGATTATGTTTCTGGGAGAGGTTGAAACAACAATTCGATCCTTTGTACATTTACAGTACAATCGAGGGGGCCGGGTGCAGAGATTTCCCATATCCCCCCACTCCCACACCAAAGAGCCTTCCTCGTTATCAATGTCCCGCCCCAGAGTGGGGCATTCGGTACCTCGGATGAACCTGCTCATCCCTCCCCCTCCCCTTGCTCCCCGGACCCCTGGCAGCCACGGGTGTTCTGCCTCCCTCCTCGTGCCTTTTCCAGAATGTCACGCCGTTGGAACCCTGCAGTGCGTGGCCTGCTCAGACGGGCTTTTCCCTTAGTCTCGTGCGTCGAAGTTTCCTCGTTGTCCTTCCACGGCTGCCTACCTCGCCTCCGTCGTCTGGATGCGCCACAGGCTATCCGTCCCCTGCTGAAGGACAGACATCTTGGTTCCTTTTTCTTTTTTTTTTTTAAGGCGTGTAAACTATTTATTAACAGACAACGCCTACAGGTTTATTTCTTCTTGGATGCCCCCAGTGCAACGCCGATGGCCCGTGGTCTCGGCGTGCTGGCCGGGAGCACGAAGACCCCAGGAGTGGCTGCAGCCCCCCGTGGGCTGGAATGTTCCTCAGCCGCATTGATTGAGTCTCCACGCGGCTCATTTTCCTGACCGCTGGCCAGGACCTGGGGGTATTTCCCGTCCTTCCCGTCCTTCTGTCTGTCCGAGGACCAGTCCGGGAGCTTGCACCGCGTGGATTCTGCGTGATGGTGGATGGCGATCCCACTTCACCCCCACCCCTGCCGTGAGCTCGCCCACCTGCCTTCCAGGTGAGGCCCGTGTCTGCTTCCCTGGACACTGCACACACCTGTCTTCGCCCCGCACCCTGACCTGTAGACACGTTATTTTCGGCTGCCCGTCGAGATTGGGGTTGAGTGTTCGAGAATGTGCTGGAACATCCCAGGGGTCACTGGAGCCACGGTGGCAGCCCGGCAGTGGCAGGTGGGCCCCTGTGGCACCCTGGTCACTTCCGAGTTTCAGCAAATGTGAGGAAAGCGGCTGTGAACATCCCCGTGCCCGTGTTTGTGCGGATGCCGGTTTTCCGCTTCAGGTAAACACCAAGGAGGCTGGTTGCTGGGTCCCACGGTCAGAGCACGCTTAATTTTGTAAGGAACCGTCAAACTGCCGGTGTGTCCACCAGCAATGGCTGCGGGTCCCCATTGTCTCATATCGTCACTGGCACTTGGCATTGGCAGAGCTCTGGATTTGGGCCGTGCTAACACGTGTGTCGTGGTATCTCATTGTCCGAGTTTGTGTATCCCTGATGGCGTGTGACGGGGCGCATCCTGCCAAATGCTTGTCCGCCGTCTGTGCATTTTCTTTGGTGAGGTGTCGGTTAAGGTCTTTCGCCCATTTCTTAATCAAGCTGTTTGTTTTCTTATTGTTGAATGTTAAGAGTTCATGTACATTGAGGATCACACTCCTGTATCAGGGGCATTTTTCCCAGTTTTACCGACAAGTAGCTGACCCCCTGTTGCTGCACAAGTGTGGGGCGCATGCACAGCACGGCGGTTTGATTGACAGGTACTGGGGCCCAGTTGTTGCAGCCGGCTTAGCAAACACCCATCAGCTCGTGTAGACATACTGATGTCTTTTGCAAATATTTTCTCCTAGTCTGTGGCTCGTCTTCTTGATAGTTCATGGATTTTTAACTTCTCAAAAACCAGAAAGTGGAATAAACAAACAGGCAACACTTTGGAGGGGCAGAGTTCCCAAGGTGGAACAGTTCAAGAGAAAAAATAAAAAAGACGACTGGAACCTGGGCTGCGAGGGCCGCACAGACGTGCGCAGAACAGGGCAGCCGCTCCCCTCAGAGAAGAGCCCCCTGTCCTCGTGTCGCCGTTGTCCCCGACCCCCCAGGAGGCCTGGGGCCGCTGTCACAGTGAGTCAGGTGGGTAGTGACAAAATGCAGAGAGGACTTGGTGCTGGTGTGTCACTGTCACGAGAGTTTAGCCCCAAGCCGTGGGTTCTGGGAACTTGGACTTGCTGATATTCACACGGGACAGGGCATGGGAACCTGTATTCTGACGCCCCTACGCCCCCCCACCTGTGACCCGCCCAGGCAAAGGCCCGCTGCTCCTCTTATATGGGAGAAGCTACGCCAACAGGGCAGCCACCGACTTGCCCCCATTTCCCCACAGAGAAGGACCCAGATGTCACCTCCGGGCCCCCACAGCCCGGGTCCACCGGAGCCACCTCCCCCCACCTCCCCACAGCACGGGCAATCAGTCTGCCAAACACACAAAAGAAAAATAATTGTTTTATTTCATTTAAAACAGCACGGCTCTGACCTCAGTCTGGACGGTCAGGGCTCCCATTACAATTCTGCACGGGCAAAGAATCCTCACGCTGCGACTACGCCGCCACGGGAAGTTTGTAAAAATGTGTTTTCTTGTCGGGGACAGTGGGGGGCTCTGTTTGCACCCTCAGCCCAAGCCAAATAATAGTATTTATTTAAAAAACAAAACAAATCAACAAAAAACAACTCCAAGGCACAAAGAGGCACGAAGGGCCCAGTAAACCAGATAAAAAGACCGAGGTTCCGAGCGCCCCCGAGGCATAGCACCTGTTCCGGCTGAGGTCACGTGGCGGAGGGGGAAGGTGGCTAAACATTAGCAGCACTGACAGAGGAGAAAGTGTAAAAGGAACACACTTGGCCTTCACTGCTCACATCACCTGCTTCCTCCCTGGGGCTTCCCCTCCCCAGGGCACAGGACTTCAGCCCCACGCAGCCAGTTCTGAACTCCACCCTCCCAGCGGAAGGCTCCGAGGAAGGCTCGTGCTGGGTTCCAGGCTGGGCCCCGGCCTCAGGCCCAGCACTGCACAAGCTCCTCCCCACCCCCACTCACTCGGCCGCCACCGTGCACTGTGACACGTTCACCAGCTGCAAAAACGGGGTGGGAAGTGGAGAAGCTGAGACCACAATACCCAGGTGCAACTGTGGGGGTTTTTGCAAAAACAGCACAGCACAGCAGCGGCATCAGACAAGTGAAATGGGAACTTGGAGTCCTGGGCACCTAGAGATGCTCTTCACTATTCAGAGAGCTCCCTCTGCTGGCCATTTCTGGCGGCAGCAGCAGCCTGTGTAGGGAAGCTCAGGTCTGGCCTGCCCTGAGGACACCCGGATCCCGGACCCCGCCCTGTCTGCGCTAAGGACTCTCCAGCCCACTTCTGGGCAGGACTCGCTCCCGCAGCATCCTCTGCGGCCCATGCTCAGCCTCAGCTGCGAAGCACTTTCTCCTTGGCAGCAAGCGGCTTCCCGAGTTTCTGCTGCATTCGAGCTCACTCGAGGGTCTGGACCAGCCACGTGCCTGTGATCTGCTGGAACGTTTTGGGGGAACCGTTTCTGTAAGGAGCTTGCCAGACCGGCCGGCTTTCTGGGGTGCGGCCCTGAGCTTTCTCGGAATCCTGAGGGGATGTTGACCTCTTGCTGATGTTCCTACAGAAACTTTTTAAGAGAAACCAAAAGCGAGCATTTTGGACCGAGTTCTGCAGAGGACTGTTCCTTTCGGGTTCTCCTCCTGTTGCAGGTCTGCTTGTGAGAGCAAAACAGGTGCCCACAGGACGCTGCGCCGTCCGTTTTAACCCAGAACCGTTTTGCGGGTCCCACGAACCACCTCGGGTTTGCAGAGCTCTCGTGGGCCCTGAGGGAGAGACCCCCATTGGGTCGATGGTACTTTCCACCCAAGGCTCTGGAGGTGACACTTACACCTCCTGTCCCCAGCCAATGGCTTTCTCTGCAGCTTCACAGAGCAAGTTTTCTGAAGTAGAGGGAAGGGCTGGTGGAAGAGGCACAGAGTGTAGACACACAGATGCTTATGTAACTCCTTTCTCTCGTCTGTGTAAGTAACCACCCCGTATCACTTCCCCAGCCAACTCCCAGAACTTCACCTTCGGGGAGGGATCAGTATTTGGGCCACTCGTGAACCCTCTGGCCACCTTTCCTATAAAAACTAAACCAGGGCGTGAAGAAGCCAGGCCCCTCCCAACACACCTCATCCCAGCGTCCACAGGCACAGACCTGAGAGATGGGGGCGGGGGGGGGGGCACTCCCCAGGGGGTCCCTGCAGCGGCCTTCCTTGCTCCTGTCCCAGTCCTGGCCCTGGAGGACGGCACCTGTGTCTGAAGTGACTGGTGGAGGGAGGCAGGGGTCTGGATTCGAGTGCCCTCCACACCCACAGCCGGCGACCCCCAGAGAGAGACCCGGGCGGGTTCCTAGGGGACCCGCAGCCCTGAGCAGCCGTGCTGGGCTGTGCTCACAACGTTCACCAGGAAACCTCACGGGAACCGGGTTCGAGGTGACCGACTCTTGCTGAAAGGCCATGCTCTCCGGGGAAGGTCACCACCACGACACACCGGCCATCTGCTCCATGACATCTAGGCGGGGCCACATCGCCAGTAACCCCTGACATTTCATTTAGGACGGGTACCTGGGGGACATCTCTCATCCTGCTTAGCCCACAGGGGTGGGTCCTCGGAAGCCGATGACCACTGGGCCACAAGGCAACCTGGCAGCCATCGCGTGCTGCCGGTCTCCCCGCACCTCATTGCCAGCCCTCGGGCAGACAGGCCCCTCGGGTGCAGCGGGACACGGGTGCATGTAGACACGCGCCACCTGAGAGTCTAGGAGGTAGAAGAACCTGAGTGTTCGGCTGACCCCGCCAGCAGGGCCAAGAGCTTCCCCAGCAGGAGGCCCCCATCACTTCCCCGCCTCTCAGCTCAGACCGTGGGTTGCAGGAAGGCTTCCGGGGTGGTGGACATCCCTGCCCGCTTCCTGCAGTGGGACTCAGCGCCACCCGTCCTCCCAGGGAGGGAGCACCCACACGCAGAACTGGGGGGGAAGAGCTCAGGTGCGTGGATGTTCATCGAGGGTCCACCGGGGTCCCTGAGTCTCCTGGCTTGGAGGGCGCAGGAGCCTTGGGCAGGCCGGCCGGGCTCTCCGCAGGAGCCTGGGGAGGGCAGCGGCAGCAGCAGAGGGCGAGGAGCCGAGTCCGGACGGCGCGGGTGCAGAGGACAAACATGATGCAGTTGGCACCTCCCTGAAACGTGTTCCCGATGCCCTGTCAGGAGGGAGAGCAGAGGGATGAGCACCAGGGCTGCAGTGGGTCTCAGCACACGGGCGAGGGGGCTGGCGAGTGCTGCGGACCCCAGGACCTCGTCCTCCACCCTGGGGGCGAGTCTGTGGTGGCCCTGCCACGCGGGCCTGCGGCAGAGCTCTGGGCCGGTCTGACCGGGCAGATGTGGCCCAGACCTGTCCCCTGGGCTTGCGGGTTGGGAAGGACCCAGGATCGGTCCACCCTTCTGGGTCCACTCCTAGGCCGATGGACAGCACCTCGACATGCCCCTGGCTGCACTAGAGCCACAGGGACCTTCCACCTTCTCCCTCGAAGGCCCCCCGGCCCGGCCCGGGCAGGAAGGCGTGGTGGTGCTGAGCCCCTGCCAGCCCCGAGTCCGCGGATGTGTTGGGACGTGCCTACTCTGCCGAGGGTGGGGCGGGGGGGAGGGGGAGCCATCGGACCCTCCTCGGGGACAGCGCGGCCAGGGAGGGAGGGCAGACCTCCGTACGTACGTGCAGAACGACCAGCACCGGGGTCTGCACGGCCGGGGAGCCACAGAGGGTCAGGACAAACCGCACGGTGCTCCACACCCGGAGGCAGATGAAGATGACCGGGATGAGGACCAGCTTCTTGTCGGCCATGGAGCTGTGGTGCTGCAGCCGGTGGGCCTCGGACAGGATGGGCCGGTACTCGGAGAGCGCCTCGTGCTGCGCAGGGGACACCGGGGGCGGACGTGAGCGGGCCAGGCTGCCCGCCAGCTGCGCACGGGCGCCCCCGGGCCTTCGGACTCGCGGGAGAAGGAAGCAGAGGCGAGCACCGCCCCCCACGCGCACGCTGGAGGCCCGGGCTCCCGGCTCTAGCCCGGATCCCTCTCCTGAGCTCCCGGTCTCCTCCATCCATGGCCTGGGCCGCACCGCCACGGGACGCCCACAGCACCTCTGGACTCTCGACATTCTGAGGCCTACCGCAGGCCTCCCCACCGCAGCTGACGGAAACGCCATCCCCACGGGTGCCCAGGCCGAAACCTGGGGGTCGTCTCTGATCCCTCTCTTCCTGGCCCAGCCCTCATCCCACCCGTGGGCAAGTCCCGGGGGCTCTGCCTTCAGAAGAGTCCCGGGATCTGAGACTTCCGTCCACTGCCACCAGCGTGGCCCAAGCCCCATCTGCGGGGGCTTCTCTGGAGAGCCGCTGCCCCCTCTGTAGGTCTCTCTCCGTCCCCCCCCCATCCAACCCTCCCACGCCCCTGCTACGGCCTTGTTCTCGGCACAGAAGCATCACAGTCGCTTGAAAACCTAAGTCAGACCCCGCTGGGCTCCCAAAGCTCTTGGTGGCTCCATTTCGCAAGGTCCTCATGAGGTCTCCAGCTCCGGGCTAGCGCTGACCTTGCTCCAACCACCCGCCCCTCCTCCACTCCTGGCAGCCACGCGGGTCTCCTCCCTCGGTATTCCCCAAACACCCGAGCACAAGCCCCGCCTCCCCGGCTGCGCATGCGCCGTGCCCTCTCTCGGGAGGCTGTTGCCCACCCATCTGGATGCCTCGTTCCCTCGCCATCTTCCAGGCTTTACTCCCACGTCACCTTCTGAGTAAGACTCGTCCATGACCTCACTGAACGGCAAGGGCGTTTCCCGTGCAGCCCCGCCCTGCAGCCAGCTCTTTACTTTGGTCCGTTTTTCACGGCTCGGTTCACCCTCCTTCCTAGACGCCGCTCTCCCTCGTTCGGCAGGCCGACTGCTTGGATGGCCCCCCCAACCCCCAGAATCAAGCTCCCCAGACCCTGCCCCGCGGGAAGAGCTCACAGGGGGGCTCCCCTCCAAAGCTGGGCACAAAGAAGAGGTGAGGAGGCACCAGCTTTGGCTCCCCCGCCCCTGGGAACGCCCTTCAGTGAGAAGAGGGGGAGGCTCCGCTTCCAGATCACAGCGGAATTTGTAAAAACAGACCAGACTGCTCACAACAAAGATGCGCTCTGGAGCCTGGCCCTGAGCCGGGGGCACCGCAGGTTGAGGTGAGAGGCGGGGCCACACACCTGGCGTCTCTGAGCACCTGAGCTGCTGCAACTCGCCTGCTTGGAGCACCTGCAGCCTCCCCCGGGGCCTTCGGCAGCAGCCCCTTCCAGAACCTGGCCACCGAGGGCAGAGCCCGCCTGCTCCTCCGGTGCCTGTATTTCTAGCTCTTCTCCTTCGCTGGAGGCCAGGAACAACTCCCACCAACACCTCCCCGCCCACCATTCTCCCTTTTTTTGGAAACACTTGCGGAGTGGCGGACCCACCCTCCCATGTGGGGATTGGGCCTAGAGGCCCCGGCTTCTGCCCATTGCAGGAAGGGCAGGGCAGACAGACAGACAGATGAGAAAGGGCAGCTCCGGAGGGGCTGCTGGGCAGGGCCCGGAGGAGGTCAGGGAGCCCCGGAACCTCTCAGGGCAGTGGAGAGGAGGAGGAGGCGGAGCAAAGGGCAGCCCCTGGTCCAGGCAAGAAGACAAAGAGGGATTGGACCAGCTGGTAAGCCCTGCGGGAGTCTCTGCAGCTGAGCCAGAGGGGCAGCCTGGAGCGGTGAGGGCCGGTTCAGTTCTGAGGAAAACACGAACCAGACGCCTGGACTCGGGTGGGAGTGCAGGGTGGGGACCAGGTGTCACTGACAGCTGCCGGGAGCACCCTGCACACTCCGAAGTGGCTGCTGAGCCAGCAGCCTGCCCCGGACGGACAACAGGGACACCTCGCCTGCGGTTCCAGCCCTGAAACCCCAGGGCACTGCACCAGCGGCCCTGCCCAACTAGCCTGGAAGTCCACGCTCAGAGTTCCAAGGGAACCTGTCTTACTGCTCCAGCCCCTGCTCGCCTTTTATCTTTTACTGCAATTACTTGCACTTCTGCCTCTCCCTGGGACAGGACCCCTCCCCGGTCTGAGTCCTCAGGATGGACTCCCACCGCCACACAGCGCTTGTGTGTGTAGTAGATGCTCAGTAAAAATGTGCTGCCCTGGCTGGCATAGCTCAGTGGATTGAGCACGGGCTGCAAAACCAAGTGTCGCAGGTTCGATTCCCAGTCAGGGCCCATGCCTGGGTTGCAGGCCACAGCCCCCAGCAGCCAGGAGGAAGCCCGAACTTTACAGCTGCAGAACTAGTAGCTAAGAACAAGGAACAGTTGGTCAGAGAAAGACCATTCTTCCCTAGAACCTCTGGCCAGTTGGCCCGGCGTGTTGGTGTAGTAATCCCTGAGTGCCTGGGAAGTCTACCATTGGTGATATCATTTTAATCACCGAGGATAATGAGGGCAGTTATTGTCTCAGTGATGGGGAGATTCACGGTCTCCCCTCCCAGTTCGAGTCTTACTTAGATACTGCTCACCTCTCATCTAAATTCCTACAGGGGGTGGGGGGAGCTGAGACACTGCCAAGGTCTGTCCAGGAGGGGGCAGTAGAGGGCTGTGGCTGAGCACACAGGCTGAGACTCTTCTAGAGAGCAGAGCAGGTTTGGGGAGCCCTTAACCCCCATAAGACCCCTGTTTGTCACCCACAAAGGGGGGGACACAGGACCTGCTCCCCGCAGGGCTGTGTAGTCAGCAAACCAGACAGCCCCCGATGCTTGTAATGCATGGTGCCCGGTGCTCAGCAAGCCCCCTGTTACTAGTTCTGCCCCAAAGGCGGCTGAGCCTCAGGCCAGGACTCGGGCAAGCCCACAGAGGGCACAGTGGCCCACGGAGCCCTGGGCCGGGGCCCCGGCGGGGACAGGGGGCGGCCGTGGGCACCTACCGCCCTGCTGATGTGCTTCCTGATGAGGAGGTACAGCACGGGCAGCGTGACGTAGGCCAGCATCTCCCACAGCTTCCCGGTCAGCAGCATCCACAGGACGTGGTCCTCCGCCTCCAGGTCGATCCAGCACCAGCCCACGGACACGTCCGAGGCGTCGTAGCCGATCTTCTTTAGAATGACAGCAGCCACGGTGATGGTCAGCGGGACCCCCCAGCTGAGGGACGGGAGCAAACGGGCACCGGGGTCAGGCCCAGGCCCCCAGCACAGCCAGCAAGGGGGAAAGGGCTGGGGTGCCCTTCAGACAAGGAGGGCCACGCCTCCCCTCCAAGCGTCCCAGAAAAAAGAGGGGCGGAAGTCCTCAACACCCAGCCCCGCCAGGCCCAGCTGCCCAGCAGCCATCCCCTGACCAGCCTGGGTAGAGGGGTGCACACTGGTGGCCTGGGGTGGCCGGCGCAGGGAGGTCCGCGCTCCGTGTGCCTGCAGCAGGATCTGGAAGGGGGTTGGGGCTTTGGGTGGACACGCCTCCCAGGGCCAAGGCCCCTGCTGCCCCCCAGCGCTCTGGGGGGAGGGGCAGTGCCCTAGCAAGGGGCCTCTAACGCAGAAAGCCCAGGGCAGCGCCAGGCTCACCTTCCTGCAGTGTCATCACTATCCCCAGGGCAACCCAGCAGGGACGAGGCCCGAGCCCCAAGGCCCTTCCCCAGGGGTCCCCTTTCCAGTGTCCCCAGCACCTGCTCCCCCATCAGGGGCGGCAGGATGGAGCCCACAAAAGTGAAAGGGTTGTGAGAAAGGCATCAAGTGACACCCAGGAGTCTGTCCATTTTAAACACTTGTTCTATGCAAACTCATTTATCTGCTAAGTTAACATACAAGGTGGGGCAAAAGCAGGTTTACAGTTGTGAGGATGCGAAACACAGAGTTTATTCTTCTATTATTATTTATTAATTATTGTACTATTTTCCATACAAACAGCTGTAAACCTCCTTTTGCTCCACCCTGTAAATTAGTGGCAAACTGTTTTGTGGTGACGAAGGGTTACCTTTTTAAAACTCATGTTATTCTGGGATTTTAGGACACAGCCACGAACCCATGAGGGTGAGGGCCATGTTGGTTCACTATTGTCACTGAGTAGGGACAAAAGAAGAGCCTGCTGAATGAATGAATGAATGAATGAATGAATGAACGAACAAAAGAGCGAGCGAATGAACTTGGAGCCACGTGAGTGAGAGGTTTCCCCAATTCCCTCCATGCATGCCCATTCTTTACGGCATGCCCATTATTGAAAAGGAAGGAAAAAGCTTTTAAAGTGGCTGAAACAGCAATCCTGAAGTTATCCTTGCGGTTTCCCATCTGTTACAGGAAAAGCACCACGTACAGGGACAGTCGCAGGGAAGGAGGCTGCGGCGGAGGGTCCCCACTCAGGCTGGAAGGGGGAGGAGGGCAGGGGCAGGACGAGGGCGCCCTTTCCCCCTTGCTCAGCATCCTGGCGGCCCTTACAGGAGACCCGGGGACCACACGGCGACCGACAAATTCCGAGACTTCAGCTGTGTCCCACTAAAGCTACAAAGGGCTGCGTTTCCCCTGGATCACTGCGGGGGCCAGAGCGGAGGGTGTGCTGGGAATCGCCAGGAAGAAGACCCAAGAGGCAGAAGGGCGGCTTGGAAAGGGTTAAGGATGTGGGCTGATCAATCAGAGCTGTCGTTTCAGCTCGAGCACAGATGGCAGCTACCTGGTCTGGAAGCTGTCCAGAAAGGTGTTTCAGTGGGAGGTGGTGACACAGGTGAGGTCGGGGAGCAGTGGGAATGGCGTGGGAGGGACTGACCGCTGACCCAGCAGTTCAGGCTCCCCCAGACTCGTAACTCACGGATGCGGGCAAAGCTCAGCAACGGGCTCTCCAGGAAAATGCACTCGTATGCATGCGTGCGTGTGTGTGTGTATGTGTGTGTGTGTGTAAATGCGCACATATACATTTATTGTAGAAGTTACTGGTACAAAAGGTGTGCAGCACCATTTATAAGGAACAGCACACAAAACTCCTAACTGCAAACGCCATGTGGCCGGCTGAACCTCACAGGATGTTTTAGGATTTTCCCTGAACTCCGGTGTGCGTAGCCTCTCTGTGGCTGCAGGCAGCAAAGACAGTAGTTCCAGGATATGAAGCTGGTTGATATTTTCCTTAACAAACCAGAAGAAAGTGAAACACGGAGGGCAGAAGGGACAGGACGATGCCGGAACCTTGCTGATTCGGCAGAGACACGAGCAACTTCTTAGCGGGATCAGGTGATAATTTTCCAACACTAGAAGAGTATTTCTTTTCTTTTTTCTTTCCCCTGTTCCGTGACCCTGCCTCTTCTCATCATCTCCTCTTGAAAGACTGGGTTTCGTGCCTGCCCTAGCATGGCTGCCATCTCTGTTTAAGCTCAGAGACAAGTAACACCTTTAAATTTAATCTTTACCTATGAACGTATTCTCCATCACTTTATGAAGTCCAGATCAGGGGTCCAGCACACGACACCCTCAGGCCAAATCTGGTTTTTTTTTTTAATAAAGTTTTATTGCAACACATCCACACTCATTCATGTACTTAGTAGTGGCGGCCGCCGGCAGGCAGCCGCAGCAGAGCCGAGCGGTGCAACTGAGGTCACGTGGCCTGTGAAAATGAAAATACTTACTCCCTGGTCCTTTACAGGAAAAGTCTGCTGACCTCTGCCCTCCGCATTCAACAAGCCAATGAATCAAGCCCTGATCTGTACTGTTTGCCAATTTATTTCCAAGGTGTAAATATTCCCGCCATGGCCAAGTGCAAGCCACCAGCTCAGATGCAGAGCAGCACACCACTGGATAGGGCTCCTATCACACAGACCCAACAACACAACAACTTCGAGTGCATAGAACAGAGGAAAATGCAGTAAAATAATCAAAATGTAATCAAAGTTTGAGTATTGTTATGACTTTTTAATACAGGAGGGGAGACCCCCCCCCCAAAACCAGGATTATCTTCTGGAGGGCAGGCCTCTTGTAGAACAGGCTTCTGCTAGGTTAGTGTTCTAGGAACCCATCCATAACAGTGTGCCAGTTGGTGTTGTTGTGAGAGGTTGTGTTCAGCTTCAGTCAATTTTTTTGAAGACTCTTTCAACATCAACACCACGTGGAGTGTTCAGCAGTTTTTGGCCAGAAACAGGATGACTCCTGTGCCCTACCCTCCCTATTCACCCGATGAAAAAAGTCCTCAGAGGGAAATGTTTTGCTGATGTGGAAGAGGTAAAACAAAAATCCTCAGAAGCACTAAAAGGAACCAAAATAGAATTCAAAAACTGTTTCGAGCAGTGGAAAAAATGTCTCAATAGCTGTATTGCATCAGAGGGACAGTACTTTGATGACGACTGAAGTTTAAACATGTAAGAATAAACACACCATTTTTCATACATAAATTCTACTTTGGGGGAATTTAATAATAATAATTTTTAATAGTTAACTAATACTAATTTTCCAACACTGGAAAATTATCTGATGCCACAAAGAAGTTGCTCAAATTCACTTAACTTTAAGTTTGTATAATCTATTTTTTAATAATGGCTGTATTTAACAATCAGCTCACAAAATGCCCTAAAATCGACCCATCAAGTCCCAGCAGCTGGCTGCAGGACACCCGATGTGGACAGAAAAGGCAAAGGGCAGGGAGCTGAAGAGGCCCCCCGTTCTCCAGCTACAGAGGGAGGCGAAAGTGGTATTTTGGGGAACCCCAGATAAGCCCAGCTGTTCCCAGGCCAGGGGGCCACCCTGAGCTGTCGGTGGCGGGACTCTGGAAGGCACTCCACAGAGACACCTGCGACGTAATTCCTGCTCTCCAGAAACGTGCACGTCCCATGTCTAACGTGCACCACCTACCAGTCCTCTGTTCCCCCACAAAAAAGTCATCATCCCAAAACGACACACCACCAGGACAAGGGAGGTTCGGCTTAAAAACAGCACGAGTGAAGAAGACCAAGGACTTCAGCTGGCTTTGACCTAGAAGTTCGTGCGGTCGGAGAAGCTGCCCTGATGCCCAAACGTGGGCGGGGGTGCACAGACAGGCCTCTACAGGCCAAGGAGAGAGGCCTCCAAGGAAAACCCTGCCCTCCCTTCCAGCCTCCAGGACCTCGAGAGAACCTCTCGTGGGCGTTTAAACCACCCTGGCTGGGGCACTGTGTCAGCTACGACCCAGGACCCTGACACAGGGGTCATCTGCAACCTGCTCTGGGCAGAGAGATGCTCTGGGCAGAGGTCCCACCCAGGCTCCCAGGCAGGCCACCCCCAGAGGGGGAGGGGGAGACGGGAAACACCCCACCCCCACCACACCCTGCCGGCAGAGCTGGGAGGGAGGGGTGAGCTGACCAAAGGCATTCTGATCTGTCACGAGGAGCTTAGCTCTTCTTAGAACTGGCGCCCTTCTTGTTTCCCAGTCTCCTCCAAGAAAGTGGAACTAGACTAGGCAGGTGGGGAGCGGGCCGTCTGCGTCGCTGGCGTCCGTCAGCTGGCCTCAAACAGGCGTCTCTCCCCAGAGCAGAGGGTACTCTGGGCTTCCCTCAGAGTTCCCAGCTTCCCCCAGAGTCAGGGCGGGGGACACCTGTGGCGTCAGGGAGCCACTTCCACTTCCCACTTCCCACGCAAGTGGGAATACCGACCCCCCGCCCTGTGCATGAAGCGTCAGCTGGCCAGGGGCTCAAGGTCTGCGCACCGGTTCGCCCCCACTGTTGGGTGCCTAAGCGCTCCCTCTCCCACACCTCACCCTTCCTACAGACCTTGTAGGAGGTGGGGGGTGGGGTGGGGCTTGGCTGGGGAGGCAACAAAGGGGTCTTCTGCCCCCTCTGTAGGTTAGACAGCAGTGCCCGTCTGGGTGCCTTGCAGCCCAGGGAAAGCCTTGAGTGTCAACGTAACAAAAAACCGCTTTGAGAACAAAACTATCGGGCAACAATGTGCCCATTTAGAAGGCTCCTGGGAGAGGGACGGAGGCCCCAGGGAAACGCAGCTGCAGCCAGACGGGCCTGGTCAGAGGAATCACAAGGGCCACGCGGCCTCCAGGTCTCCCTCCGGAACAACGGGCCCTAATTGTTAAGTGAGGGGCAGAGGAGCAGGACGTGGGAGAAGTTCAGGGAGTCAGCCGCCGGCCGGGCCGCCACGAGGTCACTCTGCAGCTGTAGCTGCAGAGGGGGGGAGGGTGCCTTTGGAACACACCCT